TTTTAATTTTGTACCATTTGTTATATAAAATGGTTTGAAAATAATTTCAGTCAAACATCGTAAACCGAAACAGGCGTTATAAAATGGGACGGAGATAGTATGTCTCAAGAATATTTTAACATTTTTTACACATTTTTTAAATATTTTTTTATTTTCTAAAGTTCATATCGAAATTTGTTATGCACATTTAAGAGATAAACACTATTAACTTTGAACAATTATTTTTTTACTATCCAATTGATTGGTAGGAGTTGGAAGAAATTGAAACGAGTTTGAAAATTTGGAAGGAGTTAGAAAAAATTGGAAGAAATTAGAAAAAAACTAGAAGAAATTGGAAAATATTAGAAGATAAGAGTTAACGTTCAAACAAAATAGCCTAAACTAGAAGTATAACATGAAGAAATTATCAAAATAAGAGTTTTATATTTTTTTATCTCAAAAATAAAAGTAAAATACTAACAATATCAATATATAATACTCCCTCCTTCCCACTCTTTTTGTCCACTTTCATTTTTGCACACCATCCAATGCACTTCTTTAATCCATTTTATCTTGTAATTTGTGTATTAAAAAATTATAAAAATTATATATTAATAATCTACATGTTAAGACAAATCAAATAAGATCACACATGACTATTTTTAGACTTACACATTGAGAGAATTTGATGAATCAAAGTGTTTAGATGAACAGTTCCAAAAGTCAAAACTGGACAAAAAGAGTGTGACGGAGGTAGTATCAAAAAATATAATGAGATGCCACAGATACAAACTCTTTTATCTCATTTTCGCGGGGTATCCAGTTTCCCGTCTATGCGAGGCTTCTCGTTTGGGCCAATAGCCTTTAAGATTTCTTTATGGGCCTTGACAATCGGGGCCCTAATTTATCCGGTGATTTCCGCCTCCCGGCGCAAACTGCGAAGCTCACGTCTCCGGTCAATAGACGACCGTGGAATCAGTCTCGGACAGCAGCAGGAGATCATTCATCTGGGCTGTGTCATGGAAGCGGAGGAGGATCAGTCCGGCTTGATGGTCGACGAGATCTGCGAGAACGGCGGCGCAGTTACCGAGGACGGCGCCAATCGGCAGCGTCTGATCATCAGCGGCGACCAGATTGACGTCGAGGCCTACGCTTCCCTGTACAGCGGTCGCACGAAGATCATGCGCTTGCTTTTCGTCGCTGACCGGTGCAACAACGCCACGATGCAATTGGATGCTCTGAGGATGGCGTACGAGGAGATTAAGAAGGGCGAGAACACGCAGCTGTTCAGAGAGGTTGTCCAGAGGATTAATGGGCGTTTGGGTCCCAATTACGGGATGGATACCGCGTGGGCATATGCTGTAGACCACCGGGCCGAGCAAAGAAAGGATAGGCTGGAGAACGAGCTTAATGCGTATAGGGTATGGTTCAATATCTCACATTTTTGCATATCTTTTCACAGTTCATAGTTGCCTATAACTTCTTATGTTTTGTTGCGTGGCTTGAATTTGTATTGTATTGCACTGGAAATAAGAGTATCTAAGTATCTGGATGATAGTGCTTTGCCACACTTCTTATGGTATTCAGTAGTGAGAGTATTCTAGCAGCTAGTGAGAGTATTCAACTTTAGCAAGCAGGGTTTAGGTTTTGTATGATAAATTAATATGGCACAGCCTTCACCTTCAGGAAGAAGGTAACGCTGTGCTCGCTGTATTCTTGGTAGTTTCTAGAACCATACTCAACTGCACAGTTTGAATTAACTGATGCTCGAGAGTCGAACCATTTTGAGATTTCTGGGGGTGATATGAATAACCAACTCTAAAGGTTTTGCTGTTGCATCTCTTTGGGGTTTTGGAGGCTGTGAATAACCTTTATTCTCGTTTCACTGGCATTTCTACTGGTTTTATGGTATTTTCTTATTAAAAATGTCAGACGGGTTTCTTTCTTTCCTTTTTGGATTTCAAAATGGCAAAGTTAAAGAAAACAACAATAACTTTCTGAAATTATCTTTCTTTTTCTCCTCTTTACAGACCAATCTGATCAAAGAGAGCATTAGGATGGGATACAACGATTTAGGAGATTTCTATTATGCTCATGGGCAACTTGGGGATGCTTTAAAGAATTATGTCCGGACGCGCGATTACTGCACAACATCAAAGCATATAATTCACATGTGTTTGAATGCTATTCTCGTCAGCATTGAGATGGGTCAATTTTCCCATGTTTTGAGCTATGTCACAAAAGCTGAGCAAGGTCATGATTCATCATTAGATGATATTACAGCGGCTAAACTTTGTTGTGCTGCCGGTTTGGCTCACTTAGAGGCTAAAAAGTATAAGCTTGCTGCTCGTAAGGTATGTCTGCCATGCCTATATCTACTTCATTGTTCATTCTCATGTCAATCTTGGCCAGTGCTTCTATACATTATGCATATGCTATTTCTCTTAGTTTTGCCCGCATTGTGTTTATCCACTCATAATTTTGTCTTAACAATGTTGGTGTTGGCGTGTTGCCCTCTTGTACCTCCTGGCTAGTCTAATTTTATGACAGGGGGGGGGGGTAGAAACTAGCAAGTGGAATTCACTCTCGTGGAACTGATTGGTGAAGGTTACAACTAGACATAAAAATCTCAGTTCCCTTGTGTTTTAACAATGTTCTCCTCTCTGTCTCTATGAGACAGTGGGATTACAGAGCTACTGAAAAGAGATCATTTGAGAGGGTTATTTAATTCTTTTTAGTTATTGTGTTGACGGTCTGACCAATTAACATTCCATTGGATCCTCTGCAGTTTCTGGATGTTGGCCACGAATTACTGAGTAATTACAATGAAGTAATTGCACCTCAAGATGTTGCAACATATGGTGCCCTTTGTGCACTCGCAAGTTTCGATCGATCAGAGTTGAAGGCAAAATAACTTTTGTTCTTTAAGATTTTTTTTACTTTACAAAACAGCATTGCCAATTTTACCTCAAGGCACACATACTTTTGTTTTGTAGAGCAAAGTCATAGACAATGTGAACTTCAGGAATTTTCTAGAGTTGGTACCTGAGATTCGAGAACTTATCCAGGATTTCTACACAAGGTAACAAATACGAACTGATGTTAATATACTTAATATACTTATCCAGCATATGTTAATTGATGGCTATATATGAGCTGGATATTATGCTTTCTTAATCAGATTATTTAAATACTACATATTTGTCATGTGCAGCCGATATGCTTCATGTCTTGGGTATCTAGAAAACCTGAAAACAAACCTGTTGCTTGATATCCATTTGCATGACCACGTGGAGATACTGTACAATAAAATCCGTAACAAAGCTCTCATCCAGTACACTCATCCCTTTGTCTCTGTTGATCTGCACATGATGGCCAGTGCCTTCAAGACCACTGTGGCTGGGTTGGAGAAGGAGCTCGAAGCTTTGATTACCCACAACGAAATACAGGTGCTAATGAACATACGTACATTTATTTGTAGAAACGGACACCTTTTCTTTGTGCATCTTATTACCTTGGCAGTAAAGAAAATCAATTTTCATTGATTTCTTATAGAAGTAGAAGTATATACTCCTTTTTCTTTCATTGCAGGCTCGGATTGATTCCCACAACAAGATTCTATATGCAAGGCATGCTGATCTGAGAAATGCAACCTTCCAGAGGGTGCTGCAGACTGGTAAGGAATTTGATCGAGATATGAAAGCTTTGCTTTTGAGAGCGAGCCTTTTGAAGCACGAGCACAACAACAAATTACCAAGAAAACATACCGGTGGCTTGTGAGTTGTGTGATCACTACTAGGATTGTAGCTGCTGAGGCTTCATGTTTGCTCAAGTTAATGTTGTATGTTTCTACGTTTGTTTGTCCTGTTGGATTGTTTTTGCTGTTGCACCTTTTTGAATTTTTCTTAAAAAATTATTACTCCTATTAATTAGTACAGAGTACAACACAGTAGCCTACGGAGCTCCTGTTTTTTTGTTTAATCTTTCGTCAATCTCCTGCAAATCTTCATTGAAAAATGTTTCTTATCATGGATTTAAGGTCCATATGATATACTCCGAATTCTTTTTGCGATACAGCCAGGAGTCCTTTAACCTCAAGGTGAAACAACAACAACAACCTAGTAGAATCTCACGAAAGTAGGGTCTGGCGCGATATGTGTACGGAGATCTTATCCCAATCAAAAGTAGAGAGACTGTTTTCAAGAAATCTATAACTCAAGTAATCTAGAAAACACAAACTCAAGGTAAAAGTCCAAACTAAATCTAGCAAATTATACGTCCATTATTTCATGAGTAGCGCTTCTATGATCTTAAAGTTTATATGTGAAATATTGTTCATCTCACACGTTAAGCGAGCCGACATGAGTTTTTTTTCAAAGAGCTCCATTCATCAATGATGTTTATATACTAAGATCTATAAAATGAGTGAACTTTAAGAACACAAGAATTTGCCTTACTTTCTTCATTTCTCCCTTGTTTGAAAACCGGGTGAACTCAAAATCCATGTCTTTACAATATTGAATTGTTTATATAAAAACTTCATGTTTTTAAAATGGATTATATGTCCATATAAGAATTAACACGTTGCATTTCTTAAAACCCAACTTATGACTCAAAAAAGGTTTCATAAACCAAGGCTTTAGAATTACTCCCTCTATCCCATTTTAAATTGCATGTTTGCATTTTTTTCTCCGTCCCAAAATAAATTGTCTGTTAGTTGTTTTCGTAAACTTTTAAAAATAAAATACCTAAATTACCCCTAAAATAAGTTAATCTTCTTCATCTTATCTTCTCATTCATCATCACCCCTCCTAAAAAGTAATGTTAATTTTGAAAGATCAACTCTATTTTTTATTTTTCTTAAATATGCCCAAAAGTCAAAACAAGCGATTTAAATTAGGACGGAGGAAGTAATTACTAGCCGTGATCGAAACAAAATAGTTCATATTTAACCAACTTTATTTCTTATTTTCTATAAAATTTACATAATAAAGCAATACGTCTAGGATATAACACTAACAATCTCTTTATTATTATAAAAGTAAAACTATGTTTATTTTGATTCCATATCCCAATGGGGTTGAAATTATAATGAAATTGCAGAAGATTGGTGTATCGCAATGTTGACTTAATAAAAAATGGACTGATTCACAAACTTAACGCTCAGTATTTCATTGAGAGAAAAAAAGAAAAGGAACAATAAATAGCTTTATGAACGGAGCTTTTCACCAGATCTTGAGTAGAAGGAGCTCAGTGAGATTGGAATGGTTAATCCGAGCTCTCTCGCATCCAAGCGAAATGCGCGGCCGTTCCGGCTTCTGAACGTGGTCTCGGCAGCCTTCTTCGCCGCCGTCTTCGTTTTCTTCTTCTTCGTCTTTACCCGTCTCGGCGATTCCTCCGGGCGAAAACCTAATTCCCGCTCCTCCGTCGATCCTCGGCAGCGCAGCCGCCTCGTGGAGGTCATAGAGGCTGGGCGGCTGTCTTCCCCTCTCCCGGCCTGCCCTGCCGCTGATGTCGACCACATGCCATGCGAAGACCCGAAAATCAACAGCCAGCTCAGTAGAGAGATGAATTACTATAGGGAGAGGCATTGCCCTTTGCTGGAGCAAACGCCGCTCTGCTTGATTCCACCCCCTCAAGGTTACCGCGTTCCCGTCCGGTGGCCGGAAAGTTTGCATAAAGTAAAGATTGTTATTCTCGTGTCATGTAATTTTTTCCCCCTTTTTGTCCAACTTCCATTCAAATAGAGCTTGGGGTTCCAAACTTAAAGGCTGTAGTTCATCAATTTGATTTCAAACTCACTATTTACTTCCTCTTTTTAAACTACAGTATCTTATTAAATGCTCATAAAGGCATAAATTTGTGTGCTTTAGCAAGATGTGGTAGATACATTGCACAGTGTTACTCAAATTTGAAAGTTACCTTGCTGAAAATTACTGATTCTTAAAGAATTCCAACTCAAGAGTGCCATTAAGCCTGCACCGAGCTTAGTTTTAGGTCTTTTTTATGTGAAAAGGGAAACTTTTAAGGTATATTTCGAAGAAGTTTATGAAAAGATATTGCTGTATTCGTTGTTGCAGATATGGCATGAAAATATGCCTTACAACAAAATAGCTGACAGGAAAGGGCACCAAGGATGGATGAAAAAAGAGGGTCCATACTTTATCTTTCCTGGTGGTGGCACTATGTTCCCAGATGGAGCTGTGCAGTACATTAATAAACTCAAGCGATATATTCCTATAGCTGGTGGTGTTTTGCGGACTGCTCTTGATATGGGATGTGGGGTAGGGAATTCAATGGTTTTCTTGAACTCATCAAAATTTACCCTACAAATGTTGCAATGCTTTTTTTTCCGACTTTAGGTTGCCAGCTTTGGTGGTTACCTACTTACTGAAGACATATTGACCCTTTCTTTTGCTCCAAGAGATTCACATAAAGCACAAATACAATTTGCATTGGAACGAGGAGTACCTGCATTTGTTGTCATGCTTGGGACTCAAAGACTCCCCTTTCCTGCCTTTGCATTTGATTTGGTGCATTGTTCTAGATGCTTGATTCCTTTTACGGCATATAGTAAGTTTCCTGTTTCACTGGTGGCTGTGCATATTGTTTTACTCCAACCATTTCACTAACATGTTTCTGATTGTGACAAAAGATTTTTTTTCCTTTCAGACGCGTCATACTTCCTTGAAGTTGACCGATTACTACGTCCAGGAGGCTACTTTGTCATCTCTGGCCCTCCTGTGCAGTGGCCTAAAGAAGATAAGCAGTGGGCACAGCTCCAAGGTGTTGCTAGATCAATGTGTTATGAACAGGTTGTTGTGGAAGGAAACACTGCCATCTGGAAAAAGCCCAAAGGGGATGCATGTTTTCCAAACCAAAATGATTTTGGGATCAAATTGTGTGAATCTGATGACCCAAGTGTTGCCTGGTAAGTCCTTTCCGAAACTATTACTCCGTATGTTTTATTTCTTTTATCCAGCTATGTTAAAATCCTCCACATATTTTTCGAAGATATTTGTTGGTTAAACTAAATTTAACATTTTTATGTGTTTCACTGTTGAGTTTTACTTGTCAAAAAACATGAAAAATTAGCCTCGTTTGATCAGTTAGGACAAAAAAAGGTTTTGAAACATGACTATTATGATTAATAATATGTGTTTCTATATCTGAAACAAAACGGCAGGTATTTCAAGCTGAAACCATGTCTCAGCAGGACATCTTCTGTGAAAGGACAATATGGTGTTGGCACAATACCGAGATGGCCTGAGAGGCTGGTTAAAGCTTCTTCAAGAGCCACTGTATTAGAAAATGGTGTGGATGTTTTTGACGCTGACACTAGAAGATGGGAAATGACAGTAGCATATTATAAGAAATCACTAAACTTGAAATTAGGAACTCCATCCGTGCGGAATGTGATGGACATGAATGCATTTTTGGGTGGCTTTGCTGCCGCATTAGTGTATGATCCTATTTGGGTTATGAATGTCGTTCCTGCTCTCTCTCGTCCCTTAACTCTTGATGTCATTTATGATAGAGGCCTTATTGGAGTTTACCATGATTGGTAAGCTTTTCTTGAACTTTTGCTCCTGATTTCCTACAAAATAAACTGGAAATATACCCTGTGAAGATTGAAAAGTATCAAACTCCACACATATAAGTATATAATCATCATCATCATCATCACCTGTGGGTAGTATTATTTACCTTTAGGGACATTTTTTTTAGGTGCGAGCCCTTCTCAACTTACCCTCGGACTTATGATCTAATTCATGTGGCTGCTATTGATTCCCTCATAGCGGATCACAATTCTGGGAAGAAAAGGTATGCCCAGAATCCTTCTTAACTTGCTTTCTGTGAGACTTCTTGGAACATTGCATTTCTGCATTTGAAGGCCTACATCCCCCCCCAAATGGATTTCGAATAATTGAATTCTTGTTATGATCCGATTCTTATACCACTGTTGTAGGTGTAACCTAGTCGATCTGATGGTGGAAATGGATAGAATGCTACGACCAGAAGGGACGGTCATAATCCGGGATTCGCCCGAAGTGATAAATAGAACCGAACACATTGCTCGCGCTATAAGGTGGACAGTAAGGATTCACGAGAAAGAGGGACCCGCGGAGTCTCCCGGGGTGGAGAAAATCCTGGTAGCAACCAAGAAACTTTCCAGTTGATGATCATCTGACTTAATAATTCACTAATCCGGAGTTTATTCTTTCTTTTTCTTGTACTTTGTGACATTAACTGGTGCGTTTTTTTGAGAGAATTATAGTGCGGGAATGTACATGTATTATTTGTCACAGTTCATGTTTGAACACGCACAAGAATGTTGCTATTGTTATGATTCTTAAATCATACTCCGGGGTATTTAGTTTAGTGAAATTTGCAATAAATAGGACTAAAACATAATGACTTTCCTAATTTAGGACTTAAACTTTTTTATTCTTTAAATAAGACTTAATAATGTCTTAGTGGAAGAATAATGTCCAGTAATGATGGATATTTACTTGAATAATGACAAATTAATAATGACCAAAACTCCTACATTGGGAAATAAAAACATATGATCCTATATTGGGAAAGTCATTATGTTTTAGTCCTATTTAGATAAATTACTCTTTAGTTTATTCTTTGCTTTTTTTTGTGCTATGTGCTTTTTGTATTTTATGTTACTTCTTTATTGTATATCATTTTGTACCAAAATCCTTATTAATGAAAGTGTTATTTCGATATGCATTTTATTCCAGAGTACATATTAATCTTATTTAAACAAGTACTCCCTCCGTCCCAAATTATAATGCATGTTTACTATTCATATGGTCAAACTTCATTCACTTTTTTTCACTATTTTTGTTAGAAATTTGATAAAATAAAATATTATTGTCACTACTAGTTTTGTAGATCTTTTGATGTAGTTTTTAATATGTAATTTTTATTTTTTAATTCTATACCATTTGTCATATAAAATGGTTTGAAAATAATTTCAGTCAGACATCGTAAACCGAAACATGTGTTATAAATGGGATGGAGGTAGTAGTATTTTTTACAGTATTTATTTTTTGACGGAGAAAAAAAATGAGAAATTGGATTATAATTTCTCATTTACGAAATAAAACTCTGTATTTTTAAAATTAATTTATTTAAAAATTGGTATAAGAATAATTAATAAAATTTATATTTTAAAAAATTACGTCAAACATTCTACAAAAAATTAACAAAAATATTTACTTCATCAAATAATCTTTACAAATAAAAGTTAAGTCCTAGACAGTTAGGGGATGTTTGTTTCAGCCTCTTAATGGTTCAGATGTCTGAATGGCTCAACACTTAATGGTTCAGACTGTTTGTTTCAGCCTCTTAATGGTTCAGACTGTTTGTTTCAGCCTCTTAATGGTTCAGATGTCTGAATGGTTAAGAGATTTGCCTTTGAATGGTTAAGTATTATACAGAGTCTGAATGATTAAGACCTCTTATCTGAATTGATCAGACATTTGCCTCTGAATAGTTAAGCAATATACTAGTTTTTAATGGTTCAGACCTCTTACTGGTTCAGCACTTAATGGTTCAGACCTCTTACTAGTTCAGCACTTACGGATTCAATAGTTGACAAACAACCTCTTACTCTTTCTATCCCGTCTGTGACCCGAAACTGCCGAAAATGACTCCCAATCCCATGCAGGTTCCCGGGGGCCGATTACCCACCGTGCAATCGCTGCCCAGCAATTCGACGGCGCACAATTCACCCGAGATCTCGACCACAAAGTCGGGGCAAAATGGGACCTTTTGGCCATTCATCGACCGGTAAACCACCCAACATCTTCGCCACAGTTTTCTGGTTTTTTTTTCTTCAATTCCGGCGAGATAAAGAAACAGAGGAACTATTCCTTTGTCCGGAGGAACAATTCCTGTCTTCTTTTTTTCGCCTGTCTCTCCCGCAGAACGCACCAGCGAGAGGGGGAGAGAAGAATTGCCCTCTAATTCTCTCTCTCTCTCTCTCTCGAGATTTGAACAAAGTGCGTATAAAACAATGAATGTGATGCGTCGTTTCAGAAGTATTGCTTCCGGTCTCTCGTCCGTCTCAGATCCTGTAATTTCCCGCGCTTGCTTGCGGCCTATTGTGATTTAATCAATTTCAAAATGCAATCATTTCAGCCATTTCATGTTTTCCTTCTCTTGGTCTCTTTTAGATTTCAAGGAATGTTATTTATTACAGAGCATTAATGAACAAAGATTGAACTGCTTTTAGGGCTCGTTTGGTACGCGGAATTGACAGAATTGGAATTGAATTGAGGGCTGAAACTCTATAGAATTGATTTAGATAGAATTGAGTTCTCCAATTTCAATTCATTTTTGGAACCACTAATCCCAAATCCACATATTTTTGTGCTACCAAGCAGCAGAATTGAAATTGTTGTCCTCAATTCCGTTTCGATAGTTTGAATTTTGTGTACCAAACGAAGCCTTAGGGTCCGTTTGGTATACGGAATTGGAATTGAAATTCCATGGGATTCAAGTCCATATGATTGAATTCACCAATTATAATTCATTTTTTGCACTATCAATTTCAAATCCACATAATTTTTGTGCTACCAAATACCATGCTTGGAATTGACGTCCTCAATTCCAATTCCATAATTTGAATTCCGTGTACCAAACGGGGCCTTAAGAAATATGGACAATAATGTGGTTGTTTTTGTGGAATTGTGGGTGGTAAGCCTTAAGCTACTTCTCTTGTTAGCTAATCTAATCTAAGACCCATCATGTTTATCTTTAATCTCCCTGCAATTAATACTTTAGTTATATGACTTATATCCTTCCTCGTTTTTGAATCTTACACAAATATGGGCACTCAGACAAATAGATTGAATGATTTTGAAATCTTTCCTTTATGTTTTCAATATTGAGCCTAGAAATTGTAGAAGATTAATCTGTTTGAATGGACCTTATATGTGTTTACTCTGTTTTTGAATTGGCCAGGGAGGGGATTTAATCATAAGGAGGGTGAAAGATGAACAAGAAGTTGATCCGCCGGCTGCAGGCGAGCCTGCATCAGAAGAAGAATGCAGTAGTACTGCTTCAAACAAGGATGCAGCTTCTACCTCTGGGGAAACTAAAGCATCACATGTTGCTAGACATGACAAATCCCGATATGCCAGCGTGCTTGATGATCAAGATGACAATATAAGGGTGACGTTAAATCCATTTTATCTTTTAATGCACCAAAAATGCCTTTACTTCAAAAAGATTCGTTTAGCATAGAAATTGACTCTAATAGTACAGAAAAAAGAACAAAAATATAATGCTTATTTTAAAATCACAAGAGATCGGTGCAAGCGGTTAAATGAGAAAGGACTTATGATAAAAGCCCTTATGTGTTTATATGATTAAGTTAACGCAAACATTCTCTTAAATTACAATGCCAATTTTTAGTGGTAATTTCACTATTTTGTATATTGTACACAGGATATGGAGCCTTCTGCCATTAGTGGCAACGGAACTGAAGCAGGTCAGATAATAGTAATTAATGTGGGTGGCCGCAATGGACAACCCGAACAGGTGTCTGTTTCTTCTTGCATGCTCTATTTTATTTTAGGGATGTTTTTTTCTTAAGGTAATATTAATTGTGTAATGCTAATCCTTGAGATCATATTTGATGCAGAAATTATCGTACATGACCGAGCGCGTGATAGGTTCTGGTTCTTTTGGGGTTGTTTTTCAGGTAAAACACAACTATTTTGAACTATTTATCACCTAAAAACAGTTCTATCTTGCTGCATATGTTGGCACTTATTTTATTGCCTAGAAACCCTTTTTTTATTCTTCGGGTGTGTATGTGACATCCTCTTAGGCAAAGAACCTCGAAACTGGAGAAAGTGTTGCTATAAAGAAGGTTCTACAGGACCAGAGATACAAGAATAGGGAACTCCAGATTATTCGTTTATTTGATCATTCTAATGTTGTCCAAATGAAGCATTGCTTCTATTCAACAACAGACAGGAATGAAGTTTACCTTAATCTTGTAATGGAGTATGTTTCTGAAACTGTCTACAAAGTGTCTAGGCACTATAGCAGAATGAACCACCACATGCCCATTATATATGCACAACTCTATGTATACCAGGTGAACCCTTTGTTCCTATTTATGTAGATCAAGTTCCTGGCTGTGAGCATCAGTTGTTCTTAGATGCCTTTAGTTTTACAGATTTGTCGAGGTTTGAATTATATGCACAACGTGATCGGTGTATGCCACCGAGATATCAAACCGCAAAATTTATTGGTGAGTTCTTCATTTCCCTTTTTCCCCTTATGAGTGTGAGTCATCTCATCACATCGGACGAATATAAAAATACAAATCAACAATAAGATTTTAGAATAATTCCTTGATTAGATGGACGATTGAACCCAACTCTTAATTTTAAGTAAAAATATCCAATGTTTTCATGTAAAGAAATTGAACTCTTAAATGGCTGTAGTATATGCTGTCAATCTTGGATTACCCGTGTTTTATGAACAACGGGTTTGTTTTTCTTTGTGCGTATTTTGGTTTCAGGTCAATCCTCACACACATCAGCTAAAGATTTGTGATTTTGGGAGTGCAAAGATGTTGGTAAGTAATATTTGTGGAGAAGGCTCACTTTTTTGGAGTTAATTATATTTACCTGCAAATGAAAGTAACATTTCGTGCACTTGCCACACTGCAGGTTCCTGGTGAGCCAAACATATCATACATTTGTTCTCGGTACTATAGGGCTCCGGAGTTGATATTCGGAGCCACTGAGTATACTGTTGCAATTGACATGTGGTCTGTTGGTTGTGTCATGGCTGAACTACTTCTCGGAGAGGTTTCCTCATTTTTAGCTTTTGTTATTTTTAATGCTTAAATTTTCGTTTTCTTTTTATAGTATGGTCCGACACACTAAATGTTGTTCCATCACACATGCAGCCTATATTTCCTGGTGAAAGTAGTGTTGACCTGCTTGTAGAAATCATTAAGGTTCGCTCTCGATATATGTTTTTTTCTTCTTCTCTTTAACATTTATACGATTCGAATGAATTGCGAATTCCACTCTTACTGCTAGTCTTTATGTACATACATGCCTCAGGTTCTAGGGACACCGAGTAGGGAGGAGATCAAATGTATGAATCCGAACTACAGGGAGTTTAAGTTCCCACAAGTCAAGGCTCATCCGTGGCACAAGGTTTATTTACATGCATTTCTGTGGTGCTTACTTTTAAATTCCTCTCCCCTTTTCCTCCAGCTAGAAGATTTACACTGTGTTTGGTTCAAAGAATTCTGAAGCGAAAAGGAAAAGAAAATTGTAACGAAAAACAGTTTTCCCAAGTGTCATTCACATCTCAACTACATCTGATTGGCATCTTGTATTTCTTAGGTGTTTCATAAAAGAATGCCTCCAGAGGCAGTGGATCTAGTCTCGCGGCTGCTCCAGTACTCGCCAACAATGCGTTGTAACGCTGTGAGTAAAACTACTCCATATTTATCAATTTTCCGCTTCGGATCTCTCGTAGTTTTCATGGTAACAAAGTGCTTAATAGACATATTGGGAGGCTTAGCTTTTCTGAGTTTCTTTGGTTTGTGTTTAAGTTGGAGGCTCTTGCACATCCTTTCTTTGATGCTCTAAGGGAGCCAAATGCATGCTTGCCTAATGGAAAACCTTTGCCTCCTCTCTTCAACTTCACTCCCCAAGGTGATTGCTTTTCTTCTCAGTTACTACTCCCTCTGTCCCATCAAAAAGTTCCACAATGGAACCGACACGATTATTAAGAAAGATAAATACGGAGTAGAAGATATACTAACCATGTAAAGTTTTCTACAAATAGAAAGTGGAACCTTTTTGTGGAACTGGAGGTCTGAAGTGATATTTTCTCTGCCGGGAATGTTCTTCTTGACACTAAATTCCGTCGATTAAATGTGTGCAGAGCTTTCCGGTGCATCTGCCGACCTCCGAAACCGTATAATCCCCGAACACCTCAGACACTAATCAAAATAGGTTAGGTTGCTGGGGAACAACTTTGCTAGCCTTAGTGGGTGTTTCTCTGTTGGTCAAAACTACTTATAAGCAATTTTCAACTTATAAGTCAACTAATGAAATGTTTATTTGTGCTTCTACGCTGACTTATAAGTTGTTTATAAGCTAGAATAAATAAGCAGGTCTTACCTACTTATTTTTAAGCCAGTTTTTTCGTTTCTCTATTTTGATCAAATTATTTATAAAATTGTCTCTCACAATTTATGATTATTCCCAAATGACTTTTGTATCATTTAAATCATTTTACTTCTACGAAAGAATATTTGGCTTATAAGCAACTTATAAGTTAAAAATTGCTTATCAATAATACGCCAATAAGCACCAATACAGAGAAACATCCTCTTGGACAACAACGAAGACGCTTTTGATAGCGGAAGAGAGACTCGTGTATTTGTATGTATGTTCTCTCGTGTTTCACGTGCTTCTGCGGATGGATGCTCCAATGTGTACTACTGGAGCATGGAGAATTGGAGATGTGTGTAGTTATAGATATATACATATAACATATATACGTTGGTTGATATAGGATTTTTTTTCTTCTTCCTTTGTGCCTTTGCTTGGCTTCACTTACAAATGTCTGTCTTTGGGACTCAATTTTGATTGAAATGGATTGTAGGGTGGTTTATTGGTCAATGAAAAATGTTAGTCATTAACAAAAAAAATGCAAGTTTACAATTTTGTTATTTGTGAATCCATAAATGCTAACTTTCTTAATCTTGTGACTCTAATATTTTTCAAAGTTTATATTTAGGTACATGTTATGGACTCTGCAGTATAATTTTATTTCTTTTTTAGGTCGTTTTTGATTGGTAGGAACCCTTATCGCTTTTTTCTAGGATGTTAGCAAAATAAACAGTTAACAAATGTGTTGCTACCAATTTAAAAAACGTGTTTTCTTACCAACATGTGTGAGCCTTGGCAAAATAGGTTTGGTAGTAGTTCAGAACGTAAAGATTCACCAGTTAAATCTGAATCTTGGTGAGCAATTAAATTTGAATCTTGGTGTTATCGATGTGTTTCACGGAATTAAATTTGTTGTTTTAGATTGAAATTTCAGTGTTAGATGTTGGAAAGTAGTTGAAAATGTTATTAAAAAATGTAAATGTTAAATACATATGTAAGAAAACTGTAATCTTGAATAAATAAAAAATATTATTATTTGTGTTTGATGTGTTATTATAAATTTGGATATATAATGTAAATTTATATTTATCATATATAAATATATTTTTTAAGTTGTTGTTGGAAGAAATTTAAAGGAATTGAAAAGAACTAAATAGAATTTGAAAAAGTTACGAGTTTATTTCTCCAACTCAAAAAAAAAGCTTAACAATGTTAAATGGAAGAAAGGTCAAAGTAGAACTAAAATTTTAAAAATATACCAAAATAAGACTTTCATGTTTTTATTCTCGAAATAGGACTTACATTACCAAACATGGTCATATACATTACCAGAAAAGTATAATAATGTGCACATGCACACTGCCAGTGCAAATTCACATTACCACATTGCAAAATCCTATTTCGAGAAAAAAACATGAAAATTTTATTTTGATACTTTTCTCTATATGTTAGTCCTATTTAAGTGATTTCTAATGTTAAATCCCTTGATTTCTCAAAGTAATGAGATGCAAAAACAAATCTTTTATCTACTTGAATTTTTTTTCTTTAAATACCATCAAATAAAAAATTAATACGGAGTATAAATTCGTTCCTAACATATGCCCAATTGTACAATCAGAATTGACTAGGCCAACATACAGGGACACCAGTCACAACCCCGGGGGCAGCGGCCGCCGTGCACGGTCGGCAGTACTCTCTTTCCAGATTGTCTTCCGCCTCCACTCGAATCGAAAGATTAATAATCCCATTCCTGATGCCACCTTTATCCCTCAGCCTGTAACTCAAAAAATTCATGTAATTTTCCGGCACCAGTCCTCCCAAGAAATCCGATGTCGGGATCTTCGCCACGCCGATCGACCTGATGCCGGTAAAAGTCCGGCAGTGAACTTCCACCATCAGATGACGCGCGCGGATCGGCAACTTCACCGTCATCTTCTCGCCCCACTCAACGTAGTCTGATCGGCGTTGTTTCTCCGTCCCCGTGGCGATTTGAGCGTCGCCGGCGTCAGATCGCACCGTTACAAAAGCGTTCTTCACCGGAAACGGGCGCAGATCTTCCCCGGATATCACCGTTACCTCCAGAGTCCGCGGCGAGGCCGATAATGCATCCATCGAAAAAATCGAATCGAATAAAACAAATTAATTAAGAGGATCGTTTCTAGGGTTTATGACGGGAGGGGCGTTAATGGCTTGTGACATTTATATCGGGAGAGGGGCGGAGAGGAAAGCGGCGAGAAAGAGATTATTCTGAACTCGCGGCCATATATGGAAAGTGGAAACGCGCGATATCAATTGCCTGGCATTTTTCTTTTTATTCTTTTTTTTGGACACGTCCACACTAACAACATGAAGTTCTTGAAGTTTGAAGGTACTAATTAAATATGGTTATTATTCCTTATAACACTCAAAATACTCGTGAAGCTCCGGGGCTTTAAACCGGGATTTTAAAATTTCTATCTTTGTCACATCAGTTTTAACTTACCTCACAGATTCAGTAGAAATGAGTTTGAAGTCTTGAGACTTCAAATTGGATTTTCAAACCTTCAATTTTTACATTTTTAAATATACATCTTCTAAATTTAAATTAATAAATTTTAATTAATTTATTATTTAAATTAATCAAAAGGAAACTAGTGCATTAAAAAATTACATTCATTAAAAAAAATATTACACTTATAAAAGAATACATTCATAAAAAAAGTTACATTCATTAAAAAAATATTACATCCATAAAAAAACAACACTACAAATAAATTATTAATTATTCGAGCAACTAAAAATATCTTCATTCAAATCCGAGTTATAATAACATATTGCAAACTGAAATAATTCATTAAATAAAAAATACAGTCAATAAAAAAAGTATGTTAAATTTTAAAAAAAAAACAAAAAAATTACATTACTAAAAAAAATTTAAACAAAAAATTAGTACATTAAACAACAAAATATAGAGTAAAAATTTTTATGTTTATGTATCCTTTTTTTAAAGAAAAAGAACTAGTATCACACCCGTGCGTTGTACGGGTCATATTTAAGTTACTAAATTATGTTAATATCATTTCTAAATGTTACAAATTAGTATATAATGGAATATATAGATTTCATTTTTTTAAGTTACAAAAGTTAAATGATTTACCATATTTGAAAGACTACTTTATAATTCACATTACTCATATAATTTTGTGAAAATACTGTCTTCGTTGCATATTAGAATCTTCAAGTAATTATGATTTATAACTCTTGAAACTACAACATACATTTGTCCATAACTATAATATAAATAACATTAATCAAAACTCTGGTTAAAAAAACTTGTTCAGAGTTAATTGTGTTGTTTTTTTTCATTTTGTCAAATTACTAATAAAGTGGAGATCTATATACTCTATAAAAACAAAGGAGCATTTATAAAAAGAAATTATTTTTTTTGCACTGATTCGTTTTTACGGAAAGCAATACTTGTAGTGTCTTTGTTTTATGTCATTTTTTGTTGGCATTTTACTCCTTTTTTATTAACAATGAAAACAATATTTTTTCATTGAGTAAAATAAACAATTATCTTACACTCGTTAGACCTTTGAATATTTGTGTAACCGAGATTCGTTATGAACTATAAAAAACATTCGTTAGACAATTAAATGTTTGAGTCCAATTTTTTTAATGCTAGGTTTCACCATTTGCATCACCGGAATTTGAGGCGGTGATTCCACTTTGTTGAGACCATGGATCACCAGATAAACATTATCTGTCCACAATGTACAATGTAGCCAATTTCCCCTAAACATTAAAAAATAAAAATAAAACATTCGTGATTCTCAAAGTAGAATTATTCATACATCATTTCATAATTTACGATTCTATTTCAATATATAATACAGAGACTTTTATTTGGATAATTATTTTTTCATTTAACGATAGAAGTAAAATTCATAGAGAACTTCCATTTTTTGTTATTTTATTCATTTCTTTTCATATTATCAAAAATAGTTAATGTTTTGGAAATTTTATTCCAAGTATATTTCATTACCCGTGGAATAAAATAAAAAATCCAAGTGTGCGTTATTATTTTTACACTTAGATCAAAATGGTAATAAGTTTTAGTTTTAAACTTGGAAAAAATGGTAATAACTATTTTAAATAAAGTTTTAAATAAATGGAAATTTTAAACTTAAAAAATGTTAATAAGTTTTAAATAAATATGGAAACTTTTTTAATGCTCATACAAAAACAGTAATTTTTTAATAAAAATAGAAACATATTCCTTTTTACCATATAATTATTAATTAATAGAATCCAAAATTACCATAGCAACATTTAGCATTAACTGGCGTAACATTTAAATAAAAACAGAAACACATTCACCTTTTTGAATTACTCTTTTCGGTGTTATTAAAAACAAAACATATTAATATATTTAAATAAAAATAAAAACATTTTTAATGCTCATACAAATTCATAATTTTTTTAATGTAATAATTTATTACATATTAATACATATTATTTTTCTAAAGTAATAACATGTGTGAATGATTTTTACCATTTATGTAGTATTGTTTATTGTTTCTGTAAATTTAGCAAATATAACATCCAATGATTCCAGCCCCCGAGAATGAGAAGGAACGTGATAAATTCTTACCTCTCTTAGTTTCAACATCAATAGTTCTGACCTCTCATCAACATTTTTTAAAGCGGTTATGATCCCCATATTCGTACATAAATCGATGTTGAAGCACCGAATTTAAACACACGTAGATTAATCTTACTACCTTGGCCTGGAAAAGTACTGTATTTGTAGTATATATAATTGTAATAGGCTATAATTCATTGATTCCATTTTTATTAAAAACTTACACTTTGCAATTTTATAACTCGTCTTTTTAAATCATTTCCAATTTTCAATATGTTAATTATTATAAATATAATAAATATATTAACGTCACGCTTATCATTTTATATTACTCACGTTAATTATTATAAAAATAATTGCTATATTAACTTCACACTTACACAAAAAAAGTTAAAAATGACAGTTACTTATTCTCAGCATTTAATACGTTGATTCCATTTTTATTAAAATATTACGCATTGCAATTTTATAACTTACCTTTTTTAATTATTTCCAATTTTCACAATTATTAACTTACTTTTCGACCATTTTAACATACCTTTCTTTAATTATTATAAATATAATAATTATTAATATAATTTCGGTCATTTACCATTTTAACTTTACAATTGCCACTTGTAATTATATTACTTACGTTAAATATTATAAAAATAATAGCTATATTAACTTCACACTTACACAAAAAAAAGTTAAAAATGACAGTTAATTATTATAACTTACCTTTTTTTAATTATTTCCAATTATCTTTTTTCGGAATTGGGTGTATAATTGTATAACTTACCTTTTTTAACTATTTCCAATAATTTTTTTTTGCGAAATTGGGTGAATAATTGTATAACTTACCTTTTCTAATTATTTCCAATTGGTTAACTTCACGCTTAACATTTTATATTACTCACGTTAATTATTATTAAAATAATAGATATATTAACTTCATGCTTACATAAAAACAATTTCAGAAATTTGTGATTAAAAACTTAGCATATAATTCGTTGATTCCATTTTTATTAAAAACTTACGCTTTGCAATTTTATAACTTACCTTTTTTAATTATTTCCAATTTTCAATACTCACGTTAATTATTATAAATATAATAATTATAATTTTACAATTTCGACCACTTACCATTATAAATTCACAATTATTAACTTACCTTTCGGTCATTTTAACTTACGTTTCTTTAATTATTGTAAATATAATAATTATAATAATTATTACTATAATTTTGGCCACTTACTATTTTAACTTCACAATTACCATTTGTAATAATCATACTCTTTAGGCGGGAAAACCATATGTTGACTCCATGTCTTTTTAAATAAAGTATGGATATAAAGATTTGAAGCCCGTTAAAGTTTTGAAGCACAAGGAATGAAGCCCATATGAAGCTCCAAGGGGGCAATGTTTGCTGCCTCTTTGGCGTTAATAGGGGCAATAACGCCCCGGGCGTTATGCCCATTACCAGTGTTCTTAATCCCTTTATTTCAAATTAAATAATTGGTTATTAAGATACCTCAAAAGTTATATGAATATTGATACACATTACTTTTAAATTTATTCAAATTTTGAGGTATCCATTAAAATTACTCTGTATAAAATTTGGTCAGTTAGTTTGGAATCGAGGCAGTACCCGTCAAAGTAGGATTGTAGATGGTAAAAGAACTAAATATGTGTATAACATAGAAAAACGTATTAGAATAGGAGTTTTGTATTTTATTTTCAAAATAAGAGTTATACTATGAATAATATTAACACATAATATCAAAAAACATTGTGAAATGCTAATACACACTGCAATATTGTCACAATAAAAACTTGTATAGTTAGTTCTTTCATTGAAATTGTCCAACCACTAATTAGGAGATTCTATGAGTCTATACTCTATGGTATGGGGTTCCTTTTTAGGAAAAGGGCAGAATATTATTAATTTATTAATTTAAAATGTAAATAGACCGAGAGGGGTATGAAATCTTAATTTTTTTCTATTTAAAAGAGACAAGATTTGGTGCTCGTTTTGGAATAGCTTGAGCGTTTAGTTTCTTTAACTCTTTAAAATTAATCCATTTTGTGAAAAAAATTATAATACTAATCCCAACTAAAAACGTTGTTCAAAAAAATCCTTATTTCGAATTCTGTCATTGCTACCCCTTTAAGTATATTAGGTTTATAAATGAAGTGTTAATATCGATTGTAGGACTGATAATTTTAGTTATCTTGTTCTCTCTGTGTAAAAATTATATTCTATATTCGAACGATGTGCAAGATTTCATTAATTTTAATGAATTCTTTTTACTTTGAAGATTTTTTTTTGGTAAAAGAGGTATGGAGTAATATTAAGCCATCAACAAAGAGTGCATAAAATGTAGAGGAACATTCTCCCAATCAGGAAACTGAGACAAAACAAATCCATATAAAGTGAAAAGAAGACATAGGGCCAGTTTGAGAATCACGTTTTCAATTAACGTTAGCGCTTTTGATAAAATTTAGCGGTGCAAATTAACATAAAAAATGCTAACATTAAAGGCTACTCGTAAATATTATTTTCAAAACGCTAACGCTAATTTCTAACGATATTTCCAAACAAACTCATAAAAAAGTTCTTAAACGCTAATATCTAATGCTATTTTGAAATTTCTTTCCACCAAACAAAAGGTTAAGTTAAAATAAATGTGCTTTTAGTGTTGGGATTATTTTAGGAGGGAGTGAGTAGAAATAGACGGAGTATATATTCCTCCCTCCCTATTTACAATAGCAGCAGTAAATTTATCCCGCTCAAAATTTTTACGTGTGAACCGGCGAACCGCAACAAGACAACCGCTAACCGGAGAGCATTGCACAAAAACTGCAAGGCAAATGTAAACCGCTCATTTTTTTTACCCCCATCTTCATCCCCTCTTTCAATATGTTTCTAACTTTTATGCTCATAATTACGCAGCTATTGAAGGCAAGAAGGTTGTTGGTGGAAGCCCGTGGATCTATACTCCTTCATTTTACATAGAAATAGGGACCCAATTGAAGAACGAGAAGAGGAATTGAAGGGGCGGGATTCACTGCTTCAGGAAGAGGTTAACACCATTTTCTAATTTCTATTTCAATTTTTTATATTTATGGTAATATTTTAAGTTTTTTTTTGTATTTATGGACGCAGGCTTCCATGGCAGCGAGAGTGGTAGATCGGATGGGCATGGCTTCAGGTGATGAGAATGCAAGGTCGATTTCTGCTTTTGACCATCTCTCAGGTATCCTCTACAATTTCACGACTTCATTTGTAGGATTGGGAGAGATATTTTCACCCCAACATCCCAAAAATTCTTTGTACATAGGTCCAGGCAGTTTGCAATGTGTTTTCTACTTTTTCTACTTCGTTTTAGTTGTATTGTATTGGTGTATACACCCTCTGCAAGTGTCTTCAAGACCTCAGGCAGGTCTGTCCCTTTTCAGTGTGCAAATTTGCACAAGCAAACATGAGTCACCACCTATTTGATGAAATGTCCCACTGAGTCCTGTGAACAAAACTTTAATTTATAAAGCTCACATGGCACTCCTGAGGGTTTCTAATACACCCTATGTGACCCTGCCACCCTTATGGTTCTAATTAAGCTAATTTAGTCCCCTAACACACTAAGACCAGGCTTCAGTGAGAATTTTATCAGCCTTTGAATATTTTTAATTTTTTTGCTAGATTTTATCTTCACTCAATTGATCAAACCAATTATTACTAAGTCTTTTGTTTTTTCCCGAAGAATCTTATACGGAGTAATTCTTTTTTTGTACATTTATTAACTTATGATATCAGAACAATAGTTATTAAAGATTCATTTCTTTTGCTACCAGTCTCTCATTCTTTGTTTGTTACATATTTCATATAGGTTTGAAAAAACAATTTGAGTTTGTTTGGATTTATAATTTAAGGATTACAAGATATTTTTATAATCCTTTATTTTATAGTTGTTTATTGTGTTTACTTTAAATTTTATTTGGACATCTAAAGGAGTTGTCTATTAATCTTATGTGCAATGTTTTGGCTGTTGTAGAACAAAAAAGAAACTCATAAAGGTGGAACCACATCTGAAGAAGCTGCTCCTAGACGTAGAATGTCAAATTGGAAGGCAACTCTAAAATTTGAGGTGGCCCCTTTGTTTGTTTAACCATTTGTCTCTCATGTCTTGAGAAATTTGATCAAGTGACCCATTTTTATCGTCATGATGAATTAGGTTAAGTCAATTGGGATAATACTTTGGGATTGATTTTGAAATAGAGCTGGTAGAAATGCAGACATGCAGTGGAGATGGGAGAACCATACACTCCGTATGTGAGGTAATTTAGTTATAGAATTATATCTTGCTCCATATATAGTTTCTTAAACCTCATCAACCTCATGCCTCATTTGAAACATGAACGATTCTTAAATATTTTCCATCCACTTATTAATAGTTTTGGTAGAGCCAAATTAAAGACTTGCTAAGTATCATGCTTAGTTCAAAACATAACACCAATGACATTATTGCAGGTAAACATTGGGTATGTTGGATGGATTATCTTCAACATTGATGGAACACTTTATCGAGATAGTGTGGTGGGAAAAGATTCTCACACAACCATGATTGATGGCATACAAGTTACGGGTTGTGGCGTAGGAGGCATTGAAGCAGAAGTAACAAAGATTGGTGATGTAAATTTACTATCAAAGTTGATGCTTTCTATTTTATGAATAATCTATAATTTTCATAACGTATTATAAACAAAATTTAATGCTGAAAATTTTAAATAATGCACAAAACTTAATATCTTAAATGATTCTAATTCAGTTTTAAGATTGAAATATTGCTTATATCTTACCAAGGAAGGTCTAAAGAAGCTAAATTTTTTACCATGAGGATGCGAAAATAAAAATCTTAATCGGTAGTAATTGGAGGTGAGGGATCAAAGAGAAATATTTTGGGCACCAGATTTAGTTTTTTTTTTTGGAATTGATAGATACTTTGGCATTTTGCTCTCACACCTTTATATATTGAAAGCTCTGTTCATGGATTAGATTTCCTTCTTAGAATATAGAAATTGAAGGAGTTGTGTGGACATGCATGGTATTTTAGTACGGAGTATTTAATATGTACAAGCTAAGGAAGTAGAGACATCATCTTACTTCGGGTCCTATAAAATTCTCCATGCAGAGAACTTATAATTTGAATGTTTGTGCTAATTTCAGCTGCTATTAATGAGGAATAATTAGCGAGTCCTAGCAACTTGAGTAGCAATCACTGGACAGTGATTGTTTTGGGAATCTTCATTCGGGCAATCATACTAAGAAGTTGGGTAATACTTCTCTTTTTCTTCGTAAAAAAATGCTAAAAACCCCTACCATTGCTACCAACCATGCCTCCCCTACATAAACATGTAGTAGGGACGCAAGAAAATTAAAATTAGAGGGTTGATGGAGAATGGGTAGAAATAAATATGTGGTGGAGAAGTGGGTGGAGGCAAGGGTGGGGGTGTGTAGCACGGTCCTTCTTCGTAATTAGTTTTATAGAACTTATACTTATACGCGTGTTTGTTATATTTTTATTTGGATGTACTCACAAGTAATCGGAACTTTAGTGTCTTGCGGTTTGTGATTGGACTCTTTTGGAGTCACATAAGCTGTGATTTCCTAAATATCCAAGTAATTTTATTATTTAAATTTATTGCAATTATGTGCATATGTGAAACAATTTTAAAATTTGCTCATTTCCTTTAAGCCTACATACATTATGATCTTTTGTTGTTTTTATTTCTTTATAAAAAATATTTTTACCGTGCATAGATAGCAAGGGTTAAAGTCTAGTATTGTCATGCGTTGCATATCTGATCATATTAAGGCCCTGTTTGGCATCAGCGTCAGAGATTAGCGTTAGCGTTTTGAAAAAGCTATCTGACGGTGGGCATGTTTGGGAATAGCGTTAGAGATTAGCGTTAGCGTTTTGAAAAGGCTATCTACGGCCAGCGTTTAACGTTAGCATTTTCAGAGTAATCTGCACCGTTAAAATCTTATCCAAAACGCTAACGCTAATCTCTAAAGCTATTCCCAAACAGGCCCGGTAGCCTTTAGCGTTAGCGTTTTCAGAATTTATCTGCACCGTTAAAATATCCAAAACACTAACGCTAATAACAAAAGCTGTTACCAAACAAAAGCATAACTCTGCGGTAAGGCGTTTTCTTTCACCCTTATAAACAAAGAGAGAAGTAAAAAAAACTCGTCTGAGAAGTTTTCTTCACTTGAAATTGGTCTGTCGATCGGAGCTCTGATCATGCCTCAGGGAACGCTCGAGGTTACTCTCGTCAACGCCAAAGGCCTTGAGAACACCGATTTTCTGTGTACGTTAAATATAACTTCATCGCTCGTATATGCATCTCGTTCCATTTCATTGATCGATCCATTTTAGCTTTCAATTCTGTCTGGCGTAAACTTTCATCCCTGCAAAAATACGCGTGTGTGTGTGAAATTTGAATTGATTGAATTTTGAGTTCGATGGAGTGAAATTGACGACTGGTATACACACGGATCTTGTTCCCGCCGGCGGAGATGATCGGATCTAATGCCGATCTAGAATATGAGCCGGATCGGATCCAGATCTATTCACATCAAAAACGGTTCTCGTGTCCTTGTAATTGAATTTGTCTTTTCGTTTTCGAATGGATTTTTTGTTGAAATAGTCTGAAATAAGCAGCTTAAATTCAGATTGATAAATCTCGTGTTCTTGTGTCGTCCATATTTTTTACTCCAATATTTCTTCTTTTGCTTATAAGTACATGTTTAATTGGCGTGATCCGGCCCCAGTTCGTTTGATCTGTTTTGGTTTGATTTTTTATGCATATGAAAACAGCAAATATGGACCCTTATGCAATCCTGACCTGCCGGACACAAGAGAAGAAAAGCAGCGTTGCATCAGGTTGAATTATTGAATTGTGTCTATACTCTATAGCTAGCCAGCTTTCATCCATTAAACTTAATTGTTGTACATCACTTATGACATCAAAGAAGGAATTCATCACTGAATTTCTTTATTGGTGTCAAAGGTGGTATGTAACCAGAATGATCATATATACGGGCATTTATATGTTCTTTTTAATCAGAAAAATAGCCAGCAAAGAGATCAGAGAATGAATGAAGTAATACTCCCTCCAAGCTCATCAAAACTGCAGGTGGTGATGAGTAATGAATTGTAACAAGTAACTAATGAAAGGCATGGTGCGCGCAGGTAAAGGATCTGATCCTGAATGGAACGAGACTTTCATGTTCAACGTTTCCGAAGGAGTTACAGAGCTCCATATCAAATTAATGGACAGTGATAATCTCTCCAATGATGATTTTGTTGGAGAAGCAAAGTAAGTATTTGGCCTACTTCTTGAACATGGATTCACTAGTTGATACTCCAAATTAAGCTCTCATTTTCATAGAAGTTAAAATTTGAATGATAAAAAAAGGTCTTCAACACTGATTGGCAAGGTGACATTTCCAATTATGTGTACTATTCTAAATGCCCTGGTCTATAAGCCCTTATTCTTTGTTAAGATCAATCGATGCATTATATGCTTTGATCGATCTCTGGATCGAAGTTAGAGTTTTCCTGATGAGGGCTTGCATGTTTTTCTTGTGTCTTTGTTATGATGGACCTCAAAAAGAATCTCTTTAGAGCCTGTGTTTTGTGAAAGGAGCATTCCACAACAAGCGTACAATGTTGTTAAAGATGGTAGTTTTTGCGGGGAGATCCGAGTTGCCCTCACTTTTAATCCAGAGGTAATAATATATATATACATTTGATCGAAAACCGGATTGATTTTTTTGTCATAGTAATCTATAAATACTGTGTCATTCATGCTCTACTCTACTAATCGGGCAAGAGTACCTCCTAACTTGGCTCTTGAAAAAAAACAGATGTGTAGGGAATATGAAGCAGAGGAGAGCTATGGTGGTTGGAAAGAATCTTCCAGAGACTACTGATACTGTGCTCAGATCATTTTTATTTATACTCCGTGTTACTCATTCGGTTTAACAATTGCGGGGTAGTAATAAACTTGAAAAGTTTCTTTGCCAAATGACTGATATTTGCTTCTAATTGATGAGCTTTTGAAAAGGTGTTGGAGATTTATGTTACCTACTCCTTAGACTCAAACATGAAAAGTTGAATGAAAGATGATAGGGGTACACAAAATGTTTACACCAGTATTTTGTTACCATACATTTTTTATTTACTCGATATTTTTTTTCTTTATTCTTTTACATGCATAATAAGTGTGGTATTGGAGCACTTGGGGTGCACTCTTGGCAATGCCCGTAGCATTTTTTCAAAGTTGAATGGACATTGAGTGTTCAACTTTTGATATACTTCGTGTAAAAAAAATTACATTTCCTCTCTCCCGCCGAAAAAATTACATTTCCTTTTTTTCTTGGAAAAATTAACTAAAATAATCCCAACTTTACCCAGTTTTTCAAAAATAATCCCATCTTTCATTGTGATGTATAATAATCCCAACTTTATTGAAATTTGACAGTTTTGGGTCGCCGTTAAGTTTCTAACAGAGGAAATGTCTATTTTAGGCAACAAAATGAAAGTTGGGATTATTTTTGATGAATTTTCATTTTTTTTATTTTTTTTTTTTGAATTTTTTATTTAAATTTATTGAATTACTTTCAACCTCCATTTCTTTCTATTTTTTAAAGATTATTCTCACCTTAAAAAAATAGATATAAAAAATAATAAAAATGAGAAAAATAACTAAAACCATACAAAATTAATCAAATAAATAATGTAATCAATAGAAATTAAACAGAAACTGGTAAGAAATAAAATAAATATATACGAAGCGGTGAGTTTTAACATTTTACACACTATACGGAGTCTTAATGTACAACTTATTTTTTAAAAGAACAAGTCGTCGGTAAAGTTAGAATTATTGTAGATAATTTTTTCTAAAAAATAAGAAGTAATATGCTAATACTTTGTATAATGCGTAAAATATTCAAACCCACCCGTATATTTTTATTTTACTTTTACCAATTTCAGGTTAGTTACTTTTATTATTTATGTATCAAATTAGTTACATTTCTCATTTTTTCATTTTTTATATCTATTATTTTTATTTTTTTAAACTATGACTAATCTTTAAAAAAGGAAACAGAAATGATGATGGAGGTAGAAAGTAATTAAAAAAATTTAAATGAAAAATTCAAAAAAAATGAAAATTCATCAAAAATAATCCCAACTTTCATTTTGTTGCCTAAAACGGGCATTTCTGTTAACCCTCCGTTAGAAACTTAACGGCAACCCAAAACTGGCAAATTTCAGTAAAGTTGGGATTATTATGCATCACAGTGAAAGGTGGGATTATTTTTGAAAGACCGGGTAAAGTTGGGATTATTTTGGGTAATTTTACCTTTTTTCTTTTGTTTAAAAAAATTCTACTTTCTGATTATCAAAAAATGTGATTTACTTTATTTCACACATTTACATCACTCTTAGATTGAATTCGAAAACGAGCTAATATCCAGTTCTTTTTAGTCCAAATTGTAAGCAAGCTTATAAATCTCATAAAATATATTACTACAAATAATTTTTAAAAAATAATACCCGAGTACTCCGTATAATAACAATATTTTACTACGGTGTACTCAGTATAATATTATGGTATAAGTTTTTGCGAGTGTATCTTTACTCATTGTATAAGTTATTTTTGCCTTCGTCCCTAAATGAATTGGACATGACACTATCTTAAAATCACAATAATTTTAATTTATTTGTATTGTTTTTATTATTTCATAAAGTAAATTATTGTTTTTTAAACGAAATTTTACATTTTTACTCACTCAAAAACAAGTTAGAGAAGAGCATATCAACAACATAACTAGCATATCAACAACATAAGTATAGTGAAAATAATCCGTGCAGCAAAAGATTATAAATTCATTATCTCGTAAAATTAGTTCTAACATATGGAATGAAAGTGTTTGAAAAGATCTAAATGATTATTGTTACTGATAGACAGGAGTAGCAGTCGATTGGGGGTGATTAGTGGTAAGTGGATGATGATGGAGAGAACGACGATGGGGGTGGTTAACAATTGAGTATTATCAAATCACATATTATTTGACATCCAATTACTTGTGCTAAATATTATCATTCCCTCCAAGAAAAAAACTCTTATTTGACTTGACATAGAATTTGGAAAAATGAAAATACTTGATTAAAAGTGATGCAGAAATTTTTTTTGGAACCTCTCACAAAAAGAAATAAAAAAATTTTTTAGAGGGAGTTGTCTACTTTGGAGGGTATTTCGAAAATGTAAAATTTGCACTAAATAGGACTAAAACATAATGTCTTTCTCAATGTATGACATAAACTTTTTTTACTCTCTAAATAGGACTTAATAATGACCTAGTGGAAAGAATAATGTCCAGTAATGATGGATATTTACTTGAATAATGACTACATGATAATGATCAAAAGTCCTACATTGAAAAATAAAAACATATGATCCTATATTGGAAAAATGATCCTATATTGGAAAAGTCATTATCTTAAATGCCTCTTGAATAACGGTTGGGGCTTTTCAAACTTATTTGAACAATTGGTTTTGAAATGCTTTTGAAGAACAATTGGCTTCCGGAGTCTAAAATATCAGAGCAAAACCCTAACCGTCCCGGCAACTTCAATCTCCTCCGTCACATTGCAGAAATGGCATCCGAAACGCAAAGTTACAGGCAAAGACCACCCAATCAGCCCCCGCCTCCGACGACGCCCAGAAAGAAGTGGTCAATCGACGATTTCGAGATCGGGAAACCCCTCGGAAGGGGCAAATTCGGCCGGGTCTACCTTGTCCGTGAAGTCCAGGTGATCTAATGTAAACCTTTGAATCCTTTCAGTTTTCCTTAATCTACATTTCTGGAGCTCGAGATTCGGTTTTGCAGAGCAAAGTGATTGTGGCGCTGAAGGTGATTTTCAAAGAGCAGATAGAGAAGTACAAGCTGCACCATCAGCTCCGGAGAGAGATGGAGATCCAGAGCAGTCTCAGTCACCCCAATATCCTTAGACTCTACGGCTGGTTTCATGACGACGAGAGGATTTTCCTGATCCTCGAGTATGCTCATGGAGGGGAACTCTATAAGGAACTCCGTAAATGCGGCAGATTCTCTGAAGTGCAAGCCGCCACTGTATCTTCTCTCTTGCTCTTTCACATCTAATTTGTGCTTGTGTTTATTTTGTTAGGTTTATTGTTAACACTACCTATTGTCAGTATAGAATTTCTATGGGTATCAATATCTATTGCTTTTCAACTGGATGGATACAAAAAGTATGTGACCACATCTATCTCGTGACAATAAGCCAGTGCTTTGTGATGTGTAATGGTATTTGTTTCTTCTGTATTTCAGTACATTGCAAGCCTTGCGCAAGCACTGGCTTATTGTCACAAGAAAGACGTGATTCACAGGGACATAAAGCCAGAGAACCTTTTGCTGGACCATGAGGTAACTTTATTATGCCTTTCTAGTTTATTGGTAAAAATGTGGATGTGTTAGTTTTACTTTGTATTACTCGATGCATTCCAAATGGTATCCCATTAAGTTGTGATTATGGTTTGGTTGTTGTTTGAATTGTTTCCGTTGGAAGAGAAGAACTTTAAGATGATTGAAAACAGAAAAGTCCATTCTGTAGCAAAATTTCACTCCATCTTTTATATGGTTTCAAGTTTACAACTCATTAACTATGATTATTGGGTTGACGCCCTTGACTATTTGTACGCTTCAAAACATTAGATTTATTCATCTGCACTCTTAAGTGTTCTGACCCAAAAGTTTAATCAGCTGGAAGGAGACTTAAGGAATTAGTACAATATATAGTACCCTAGCCCCATATGATTTGTAGTATTCCCTATGCTTTAGCAATCTTAGTGCAATCTATTGATTGCTTCCCGCTTTTTAAATTGAAAGGAATGGAAACCAGGCAATATAAGTTTCTTGGCATGCAAGGTTGCTATCTACTTTTACTGTTTACATGCTCTCCTACACAAGACAATTGCCTTGTACTCTGTATATTGCAACTTGGCACTGAGGTAACGTGTGGATTCTTAATCTAGGGTCGATTGAAGATTGGGGACTTTGGGTGGTCAGTGCAATCCAGAAGCAAGAGACACACAATGTGTGGGACGTTGGACTACTTGGCACCCGAAATGGTGGAGAACAAAGCTCATGATTATGCAGTTGATAACTGGACTCTGGGCGTTCTTTGCTATGAGTTCTTGTATGGTATGCCTCCATTTGAGGCTGAAACCCAGAAGGATACATTTAGAAGGTAATATTAAAGATCTTGTATATTATATATCTCGACTAAATTGTGTAACAAGAATCAAGATTATGCATAATGCAAAGATAAGTAAATGTGATGTAGGATAATGAAGGTTGACCTCAACTTCCCCTCCACCATTTATGTCTCTTCACAAGCGAAGGACCTCATTAGTCGGGTAAGTGCGTTGATTGATGCCCTCTCATAAAATTTTAAAGCTCCATTCTTCTTTTGGAATAATCACAACAATAATAAAGATATAATATATTGTGTGGGAGTTAGCTTCTTGTGAAGGACTCTTCAAAAAGGTTGTCTCTTCAGAAGATCATGGAACATCCTTGGATAACAAAGAATGCTAACCCCAAGGGAGCCTGCTGGAGCTAAAGTTTTTTTTTGTTCCTCCAAGCAGTAGATGAGACTGGTTCTTTTATGGCACAACCACACAAGAGGGGACTTAATTATTTTGATTCCAATGGCATCCATTGTGCTTGTTGAATGGTTATATGTCCATACATTGCCCTTCTTCTTCTTTCCTCTTGTATTATTACTTGACTTATGTTGCATTTCTTTAATCGTTCCTCGCCAAAATTTGTATAAATTTCTTGTACAACATGTACTCATTGTGCATAATTATTCTGTTGCATTTTTAAATGGTATTTTGAATCGGGCCTTTTGGACACAAGTAGGAGTAAAGGTTGTGATCGATTATTTTTCTGATTTTTTGGTGATAAACATTTATTGATGGATCAAAATGTATTACAAATCACAAGGCCAAACTCTTAATTTATTTTAGGGGCAAAAATGGATTTTGACATCTCAAATATCAATGTCTTATACGAGTATAATTCACCCACGTCTCTCATTTAACCCAAATACATATTCAGGCTGGGTTTCTTTTAGGGCCTGTTTGGTGAAAAACCCAAAAAAAGTGGTTTGGTGAGAATAAAATGAGATCTAAATAATATCTCTAGATATGCTCCATATCTAAAAAGTGCCCCAAGTCCATATCAACCTATTTTTTACTCTTTTTGACTTTTGAGTAATGATTAAGTCATAAACAATTTAGACACAAACTACACAAAATTGTCATTTGTGTATTTAAAATTTTTAATTTTGGACTATTTAAAATCATTTTATTCACTTGGGAAAGTGCACAAATGTTAAGTTTGTATTCAAGTTGTTCGCAATTCTAGCATTAATCATTTATTTTCCTTGATATTAATATACTTTTGCCCTAGATCATAGTAATATTTGTGTGCCTTAAACTCATTCTTATTTTTTTAACATATTAAAATCAATATGAATTATATAATTTTTTTATTATTAACTTGCATGTCACTAGTCAGTGTGAGAAAAAAAATAAGGGTGCAAATGAAACAATATTTGTATATGAGTCTTAGTTTAATGAAAAATGGACATAAGTAATCTAACGACGTCTCAACCAAACATAAATAATTTTAAATTGCATTTTATATATCAAAATAATAGCAAAATGAAATGGGACTAACGTTGTTAATTTTGCTAGAGACAAAAAAGTTCGCATAGTTATATTTTTTATACTTGTGCAAAAAAAAATAATTTAGATAAACAAAACTACTAGATATGTATGTAAAAAATGATTTAGATAAAACAAAAGTACTGCTCTTATTAGTCCCAAATTAAATTGCATGTTTGTTATTACTAGATAAAATTTTATGCATCTTCTTTCCTTATTGTCATTACTCATTTTATAAAATATTATGTGATGTCACCCATTGTTTCGTAGATGTTCGATATAGTTTTGAACATGTAAATTTTATGCAGTAATTTGACCTCAAATTTTAAATAAGTTGTATTGAAAATCACTTCTGTCAAATATCATAAATTGAAATATGCAATTTAAATTGAGACGCAAAAAATAATTAAATCCCTATATTATTAAAAAAAATCCTCAAATAAAGGTGAAAGAGATCAATATAGGTTACAAACATAGTTTATGCACGTTCACAAGTTATATAATTCTTAGTGAAAGAAAATAGAGTACATATTTATTTTGATGATTAGAAGTTGTGATGTGTCTTGTGTCCCGTATGGCCGTATTCATTCTTTTTTTAAAAAAAATACAAAATCTTCAATGTTTCTTTTATTATTTGTTCCAAATAAATACGGAGTATTTTGTTTGTTTCATTGCGCTATTTTTACTTTTTTCATTTTGTGCAACGTGAAAAAAAATATGGGACGGATGGAGTAATATTTTGACCATTAATATATTTATTTATATATAAATATACAAAGTATTATCTAACTGGAATTTATTTTTAGGACAAATAGATTTTTAAAAATTTGTGACATTACATCAATTTTATAACCTACAAAATTTTATTATTATTATTATTATTATTATTATTATTATTATTATTATTATAACAGTAGTTATATAAATGAAAAGCCTACCTAAAGATGTTTCCTAGTCATTGTTGGAAAAATTTTTAAGTAATTAGAAAAAAATTAGAATAAAGTAGAAGAAAGTGGTAAAAATGGACGTAATTGAAAATTTGGATGAAGTTAGAAAATTTTGAATTGGTAGAAAGAAATTAGAAAAATTGAAAGGAATTATAAGATCTTTGAAGGACTTACAAAAAAACCCAGAAAAATAAGATGTGAAGAAAATAAAAAAAAGTGGCTCCGTCCAGGTTTGAACTGGAGACCTTCAGTGTGTTAGACTGACGTGATAACCAACTACACCACAGAACCACGTTGTAATGTGCATGATAGGGTGTTTATTGGTTAAGTTTAAACAGGTTCGAGGCATCAGCTAAGTACAAAAAAATTAATCTGGCGTCGCCCGGGTTTGAACCGGAGACCTTCAGTGTGTTAGACTGACGTGATAACCAACTACACCACGACACCCCTTTTGCTAACTTACATAACAGTTCCGCTAATAAAAAAACACAAGCACGGTATATGAGGATATGTGGAACTAAATAAATTGCTTAGTTCTATAACATTAACAAATATTCCAAACTTCTATTGCAATTTAATGCTTTTACAAGCAAACCTAAAAGCATTGCATGTTCATCCAATAAACATAGAACCAACTTTAGTAAACCATTTTAGTAGAAGCAAAAACTTTTTTCCAAAACAAAGTTGTTGACTGTCTTGCAACAACACACACAAAAAATTCAACAAAAAGGACGCTAGCAAACAATGATCAGCTCATTCACAGGTAGATGGAATCAATGAACGAAAAACATCGGTGTTGTTTCATCGTCAATGATGGTTCATATAACCCGCTAGGGAGACAGCTGGAGGAACGGGGACGTTGTTTAGATATACACAAGCTGTTGGGGCAGAAACGCTATTTAGATCCACACAGGTGGCTTCCACGCGCCGCCGGGATTTCCTTTTCCAGCGACATTTCTTTTTTCCTCTTCTCTTTCAAATGGGCACGTCCGATTTTCTCTTAGCCCAACTTATCCCGGCCCAGTATATAAGGAGTGGACTAAAGGTGGCCGAGAATGTGGGCTTAATTACTGCATCTCCCACCTAAGAACATTTACAATAATTCCAATCTGCCCCGCCCCAACTCCTAGCACATCAGCATTTCACTAATTTTTCTGCCCCGCCTCAAAGTCCTATAAAGATATTACCCTGAAAACTTGTCTCTCCATTTTTTTACATTATTCTTCATTTTTAATTACAATTTTAAAAAAACAAAAGACATAAATAAAATAAAAATTATAAGATTTACACTCTTTGATAAAAATATCGATATAAAAGATGAAATACACCAAACATGAAAAAAATTAAAAAACGAAAAACATAAAAAGAAGACGAAATTCTTAAAATTAATGTTACAAATAACTATTGTTGTCCCTCCATATTTCTTCAATTAAACAATCTTGGAGGGTAGCATAGTTTCATTCATATCGCACATACATTTACACGTTGATTTACAAAATTTTATAATTCAGAAGGTGGCCCTTGAATCGCTGGGCCTTGGTTAAGGGTGTGCCTCGAAGTGGATGCGATCCCCTCATCTACAGACTCAGTGATGTTGGCTTCCTCTTATTCAACTATCATGTTGTGAAGTATAATACATACAAACATGATCTTCAAGATGAACGATTGGCACCACGCGTGTGCGGGGCCTTTCACTATCGCCCACCGCGATAGGAGGACTCCGAAGGCACGTTCCACATTTTTTCGTGTGGACTCTTGTTTCTGCGAAAACAATGCCCTCTTTGGATTTGTCGGACACATGATTATTTTCACAAGCACCAACCACGTGGATAGATCCCATCCGCCAAACAATATCTCATGCTATATTGGTGACAATTGGCAGTGAATTGCACCACTGGCGCACGTCCAATGCAAACATTGTTGAATAAAGGAGAACCATTCCACACATTTAGATCGTTGTGCGATCTGGCGACTCTGAAGTACGCATGCCAATTCCACATATGATGGTCGGCAACAGCCTCGAGCATAATCTTCGGGGTGTGAGCCCTTGTAACCGCTTGTGAATGCAACCCTCCACGCCACAGGACAATTTTTTTCCACTCCCAATGCATGCAGTCCACGCTACCAATCATCCTTAAAAGCTCGTGAACCTCCTCGTGCATATTAACTAACATTTAAATGTCTTGGATTGTTGGCTTTCGCAAGTATCCTCGAAAGCTTCAATGACACATCGAAAAAAACGCTGCTAAAGAGTTCCCAATGTGGAGATACTCGTCGAACATTTTAGCACAGGTGTCGTATGCGAGCTGCCTAATCGCGATTTTGCATTTTTATTGAGTGGATAGGCCTATCCGACCAGAGCTCTCTAGAAGATGTTGGAAATAAACATCACGAGCTTCAAGTGCGTCCATGATCCCAACGAATAATACATGACGCATTTGGAAATGCCGACGAAACTGTTCATAAAAAATTGTGGAATGCCAGAAAAATAATCTTCAAACAAACGAGCAACAGCCTGCCCACGTTCCCGAAAATGTATACCCGCGTACATGGAACAGAGGGAGTAGCTGCCGCCGCAACTTCTCAAGCAATATTGCTTTGCATCTCCGCTTGGATGTAAGGCAAATACTCATCGTACGCCGCAATGAACATATCCACGACCTCATCATCTGTTGGGGGAAGAGCCATTTTTTATTTGAGAAAGATGAAGGGAAATTAAGAAAATAGGTAAATTGAGAGAATACTCATGGTATGCCGCAATTAGCATATCCACGACCTCATCATCTGTTTGAGGAAGAACCATTTTTTATTTGAGAGAGATGAAGAAAATTAAGAAAATAGTTAAATTGAGAGAGATGAGATTGGATAGATTGAAGCGGAAGATGTGTTGAATTTATAGGTTGAAAGAAAAAAATAAAAAAAAATCCCGGCGCGACGAACCGCCTGTTGCAGGAAGGCCGCCGCAAATCGAGCGCGGCTTTGTGCCGTTGCGTGCCATGAAGCGGAAATCCTGCAGCGGCGGGTGAGTCGTGATTTTGGCTCAGAATCCGTGCGGCGCGGCGGATGGGCAGTCGTTGCAAATGCCCTAAAAAAATAACTTTTTTATTATTAAAATTAACTTTTTTTAATTATTAAAGTCAACATTGAAGTTCAAATTGGGGTGCCTAAACCTAAAACGTATTTCTTTCGAGCATCATTCCCGAGAATTCCTCAGACCTAGTCGAACAATCACTGAAAAGAAGTAAATTGAATTTTATCTCAAATTAGTGGTAGAGAATGAAACTTACACACCTGATACTTGCAGAACTTTTATACTTAACATAATTATTTCTCAATACAATTGTCATGATTCGAACTCAGATGTACTCTTCACGATCATTATCTCTAACAAGTCCACAACCTCATTCACAAACTTGTTTTCTTTCTCAAAACGAGTATGCATGCTATAATTGAAGATTGAATTCAAAAAGAGCATCCGAATGCCGACAGTTTCGGATCTCCAGCTGTGACCCAAAAAGCAAAACCCAGCACCGACTGCGGTTAACGCAACCAACCATGGTCAATCTCCCCAACCACAATTAATAACCTCCCCCCTTCCCTCAATTCAATCCCCATCTTCTTCTTCTTCTTCTTCTTCTTCTTCTTCTTCTGTGTGACTCTGAGATTCAGTGAGGATTTGGTTTCACTTTACTTTACTTCACCATGGGTGCACTCCATATTCTCCTCCTCACAGCCACCGTGCTTTCCATTTCCTCCGCCGTCACCACCGCCCACAACATCACCGACATTCTCGCGTCCCACCCGGAGTACAGCGAGTTCAACCGCTACCTCTCGCAGACCAAACTCGCCGACGAGATCAACTCCAGAACCACCATCACCGTTCTGGTGGTCAACAATGGCGCCTTCTCCGCCATTACCGCCAAACACCCACTCCCCGTTGTCAAGAACATTCTCGAACTCCACGTCTTGCTTGACTACTGGGACGGCAAAAAGCTCCACGACATCTCCGACGGCACCACTATGTCCACCACGTTGTACCAGACCACCGGAAATGCCCCCGGAATATCCGGCACCGTCAACATCACGGATCAGAAAGGGGGGAAGGTTGGATTCGGATCTGCCCTTCCCGGATCGCATTTGGTCTCTCAGTACAGCAAGGAGGTTAAGAGCATCCCTTACAATATATCTGTGATTGAGATCAATACGCCGATCATTGTCCCGGCGGTGTTGAATGCTCCGGCTCCGGCGGCGTCTGATTTCAACATCACCGCCGCCCTTGAAAAAGCTGGGTGCAAGACTTTCGCCGGGCTGCTGGTCTCTTCCGGGGTGCTCAAGAACTTTGAGAAGGCGGCGGATGAAGGGCTGACGGTCTTTGCGCCCAACGACGAGGCTTTCAAGGCGGAGAAGTTGCCGGATCTGAGTAAGCTCGACAATGCCGATCTGGTCGCACTTCTACAGTATCACGCCGTCGCCGATTACACTCCTATGGGGACGTTGAAGACATCCAGAGATCCGATTTCCACTCTTGCCACTAACGGCGCCGGAAAGTACAAGCTGAGCACTGAGACCGCCGGAGACTCTGTTACTATCGATACCGGCGTGGACTCGTCCAAAGTCGCATCCACGGTGATAGATTCGACGCCGCTCTGTATTTTCACGGTAGACAATGTGCTTCTCCCCGCCGAGCTCTTCGGCAAGGCTCCTTCTTCGGCTCCGGCCCCGGCGCCGGAGTTTTCCCCTGCCCCAGCCCCATCCCCTGAAGTTGCCGACGCGCCAAGCCCGTCGTTGGAAGAGGCGCCTGCGCCATCTCCCCCGGCTCCTCCGTCGCCGTCACCGGCCAGCGGCGCTCCCGCGGAAAGCCCAAGTGATGATTCGCAGAACAGCACGGCCGACAAGAACGCCGGTAGGGTCGACGCTCCGTCATTGGTCACCCTGGTCGCAGTGTCATTGCAGTTATTCGCATGCATTTACCTTTTCTAGTTTTTTTTTTTTGGTTTTGTATGATACTGTAATTTGTTTGCTTCATTTTTTTCTCTTTCTTTTTCTTTTTGTAATTGTGTGAGTTGGATAATTAATTTGGATTGGATCTGCAGAAACGGTTTTTCACATGTAGGAGTACAATTCCATTTGAGTTTATTTATTTACGGAGCATTTAATTTCCCTTACTTATTCCAATGATTTATTGAATGAAATCATACTTGTGCATTAATACTCTTCTGTTCCAAAAAACACTTTTCTTTTCTTATTAAAAAGTTAGTTTTACCCATATAAATTCTTAACCTATCTATCACATTTTTTCTCTATTAATCTACTCATTCCATCATACTTTATTCATTACATCAAAGAGTATTTTTGGAAAGTCAATACCAAAATACACTCCCCTTAAATTTTTTAACAGTTAAAATGAGAAGTTTTTTATGGGACGAAGGGAGTATAGTACTCCATGTTGACTCTCTTATTTATTTCAATGATTTACTGAATAATAAAATGTAAAAAATGTTAGTAAATTTAATTAGTTTGTTTTTGTAACTCCATTACTCGAATCATTATTAATGTGAGTATTACTAATGAACCTTGTAAACAAGAGCCCGGTTCCATGACCACTGGATTCCAGTGGCCACGGAAGCCACTGCCCCTCTACGGAGCTCCGTTCATAAAATTGATGATTTTTACCCCCTCTACCCCCCGCCAAGTCCCGACCCAAACTAATCACCCCACCTACGTCAATTGTACCTCGTAAGTATAATTGACTTTATACTTACGAGGTGCAATTGACGTAGGTGGGGTGATTAGTTTGGGTCGGGACTTGGCGGGGGAATTTACCGGGAGGGTTAAAGAGGGTAGAAATTATTAATTTTATAAACAGAGCTCCGTAGGGGGGCAGTGGCTTCCGTGACCACTGGATTGGCCATGGAACCGAGCTCCGTAAACAAATGGAGTAAGCATTTCAAATCACATGCTCTCTATTCTCTACATCTTATAATTTTCATTTTCTTAAAATAAACTGATTTCATCTCTGAAGGCTCTCTCAAAATCGGTCGAAAAAACTTTTTCTTGATTTGAACAATGTGTAAAATTTTACTTATTTTAAAACGATTTTATTAACTTATAGATAAAAGTATTATGTAGTCTACATATTAAAAAATTAGTTGAAAAGTTTTACTTGAAAAAACTCTTAGGCCCCGTTTGGTACACAGAATTCAAACTATGAAATTGGAATTGAGGGCTTTAATTCTAATTCTGATGTTTGGTAGCACAAAAATTATGTAGGTGGATTTGGAATTGATAGTGCAAAAAATGAATTGTAATTGGCAGAATTCAATTCTATGAAATTAAATCCCATAGAATTTCAATTCCAATTCCATCAATTCCGTATACTAAAGAGATCCTTATAAAATTGTATGAATATAGAATAATGTCAATAAAGAACGTGGCCGGGATAATACTTTATTACTACGTACTTTGGTTTGTTCCGTCCAACCCAGAATAGCGCAACCCACTAAGTTGCAGACAAAAGCAGCCACTAGGGGTGAGCATGGTACGGTATTTAGCTCGTACCGATACCGTACCAAATATTTTGGTTCGGTATGAGATTTTGGTCCGTACCGATCCCGATCCCGAAATATCGGTTCGGTATAGTTCGGGATGGTTCGGTATCGGTATCGGTACAAATCGGGATAAATATACATACCTACTTTACACGTTAAAATTTAACAATACCCTTTTATTTTTGAAAAATAAAAGTGAATTTAAAATAAAAATATGAAAAATTTAAAAAAATAAATATTTAAATGCAAGAGATGCGTATCAAAACTTAGTTTATATTTCACAAACTAAAAAAATGAATGGCAACAAAGAAGTATTTCGAATCTTTGCGAAACTTTTATGTTCATACACAAAAATTAAAACTCAAATAAGAGTATAATTTACACATCATAGAACTTGAACCAATTTTTTTTTTTAAAAAATTATTATTTAGTGAAGGAATATAAAAATATTACTCCGGGGTATTATTTTTATAATTTTTTAGTATATATGTTCGGTACGGGATTTTCGGTATGGGACGTCACCTCGTACCATTCCCGAATACCGTACCGACCATTCGGTTCGGTACGGTTCGGTTTCTGCTCGGTACTTTTTCGGTTCGGTATTTTTCGGTTCGGTATTCTCGGTTTTTTCGGGAAATTTCGGTATCGGTTCGGTACTTGCTCACCCCTANAAAAAATTATTATTTAGTGAAGGAATATAAAAATATTACTCCGGGGTATTATTTTTATAATTTTTTAGTATATATGTTCGGTACGGGATTTTCGGTATGGGACGTCACCTCGTACCATTCCCGAATACCGTACCGACCATTCGGTTCGGTACGGTTCGGTTTCTGCTCGGTACTTTTTCGGTTCGGTATTTTTCGGTTCGGTATTCTCGGTTTTTTCGGGAAATTTCGGTATCGGTTCGGTACTTGCTCACCCCTAGCAGTCAGCCAACTCAAATGCATCATAGTAATAATAATGGATGGATTATGGACTATATATGTTTAAACACTACAAGCCAGCATACACTCATTTTTATATAACACCCCAACTCCAGAACCCGCTTCATTAAAAAAAAGGAGGAACCCCATTCCCGAGATATCCGATCAAACGGTAACCAAGAGAGGGTAAATTAAACATTAATTACAGATTCGTAGTAAAGAGTGAAGACTTCATTAGATACTTGTAGATGTCCTATCTCAACGCAGTTGTCATGAATGGAACTCGAGTCTTACCCCCTTGGCACTTCTTGTCTTTGTTAACTGCCAGAACCCCCTCTATTTTTACTTTGCTTGTTTTTTCTTCTAATTTTTATATAATACGCAGTAATATTATTATGCTATCTTTTGATTTATAAATTTTTTCATCTAGCTTTTAAATACTTCTTCCATTCATAAAAAGATTTTTTATCTCTTTTTTCAGACTTCCTAAAAACTAGAACCTCTTTATTTTTTGGGACAAACCACATATATATATATATATATATATATATTATACACACATACATACATACATACACACACAATTCAATAAAAATAAAATGATTTATGAATAGTTTTAGTAAATTTAACAAGTAAATTAAATTGGGACAAACAGTAAAATTAAATATATTGTCTACACAAATTGGAGTATTTATGAAAAGATTTTGATTTAATACGAGTTCAGTATCATTGTGTTTAGATGAATATTTATGCTATCATTTCAAAAATTCACACATTCTGTATTTTTATGACATTGACTTTGTTTGGAAACAACGTTTAGATAAAAATCTTAAATATGTAGACTAATTTTAAAAACATTAACACTAAAAACTTCACATATTTTATGATATTATTTTCCAACCACCTCAATTGCAACATTCATTCTTATTTTATAATGTAAAAACTTTTCTTTTCTGACCCTTAACTAATCATGTTCCAAGAAGAATAAGTAGTCATTAATTAGAATATATTGAAAAACCGGCCCAACTCAAAAGTGATACTCCGTAATAAACGTGGCCTAGTTACTACGGCCCAACTAATTCTTGCAAATACTGAGAATTCCGTTTCTGCTTTTCAAATTTCAACCACTGTTTCCTCCTCAGAAGAAATACTCCGGGTAAAAAACAACTACGGAAACAATTTTCCAGTCCATCCATCTGCCTCTCCGTCGAGCTCGGAGCGGAGCGGATGACGACGGAAACCCCTCCATACACTCACCGGAGCCGTTCCATTTTCGAACTTCCGGCGGACTTCTTCGATTCGTGTCGCCTCCTTCAGACTCCATTTGCGTCCCCACTCCCGATCGCTGAAGAGAAGTTAGGGAGGGAAGAGCCGGCGACCGAAACCACCACCAGCAGCACCAATAATGTTATGCGAAGATGGTCTTGCAATACATGCAAAGCTGAATTCGAGTCACTGCAAGACCAGCGCTCTCATTTCAAGTCCGATATTCATCGACTTAACGTAAGTTTGTATTTCTGTGTTTTCCAATCCTTTCGAGTTCAATTAGTTTCCTAATTGGAAGTTTTGAGGCTAGAGTTTGGTCCCCAAAAAAGCAATTTGAAGTTGTCATTAGCAGTGAGAAGTAGGGGTTTATAGGTATTAGGGTTCCCTGTGGCTTTAAAAATTAAAAAAAAAAATCCTTTTTTTTGGGTTGTATCACTAGAGACACCTCGAATTATTCATAGCAGCCGTGGATCTGTGAATAGGGGAATATTTCTTGTGCCATTCTGCCATTCACAACTTGCAGCCACTTCGTATCATTCATTCGAGATTGATTGATGTGGCCAAAAACTGCCCTAGTCCAAAGAGCTATTGTTGTGTTTTTTGACTTGGTTTCTGTTTCCCAGTGGAAGTGAGAATTGTATCTTGTAAAATGTTATTGCAGTCGGTCAGTAATTTGCACATTACTATTGATATCAGATAAAACTAAGTATTGCTGGAAAGGACACGATACGGGAAGAAGATTTTGATGATGCCACCCCGGATTTGTTATGCAAGGATTACGACATCTCCAGTATATCAGCATCCGATGATGACGATGACAGAGAAACAGTTCTGCGTACTGACTTTTATCCTGGACTGCCCGGAGTTTTGAAAAACAAACTGTTCATACAATTGCAGACTGGAGAGATAGTTTCACTGTGGAAGTCTTTACTCTTGAAGGAGTCGGATCACATTTTATTTGAGAATGTTAAACCGTTTGCCACAAATGATAATGATGCCACGATTATGCTATACTTGAGGGAAAGGGAAGTTATTGAAAAGCTAAAGTATTTAATCCACAAATCAAGGGATAATGCCCCGATAAGGATTGTGTTGCTTGCAAGAGGTGGCCACTTTGCAGGTTGTGTCTTTGATGGTAGTTCTGTATTGGCACATAAAACATTTCACAGGTTAGAGATTTTCCTTCAACTAGATTCTAATTCGTTAGTGCTTATATTTTGCTTGTTTCAAGTATAATAAACAACCATAGTTTCTCTAGTTTTTGATGAAATGGTCACAAAGAAATTCCATATTATGTCAAAGCTTCAAGATTGTTCTATTTTTCCAAGTTTTTTTTACAGTGAAATGTAAATTAGTGTGTCTAATTATCCACCTTTAAATGTGAAACTGCTATTCATGCAGTTTGCCCATTATAGATCCATCATAGCATGGATTCAAAAAATTGCTTAGTATCTTTGGGAAAAATATATAGAAAACATTCAAACACGTGCAATTAACTCTCAGTTAAATCATTTGAACTAGTATCAACTATGGAACTATTAATGCTTTTATTTCATACTCCCTCTGTAATTTATCTTCACACGTTCCCTTTTCATCTGTTCCGAAATCTGACACATTTCCTTTTGCTCTAAAAACAATTTAAATATTTAAGCTGTTTTCAAATGGAGAAGATGGTGCTTCTATGTCTTTTACGTTACTTATAATTTATAAAGAAGGCTCCTTTCTTTTTTATGGAGTATTTGTTTTCATTAGAATTGATCATGATATGAAAGCTTCAAAGTTTATTTGTTCAGTGGTCTCTATAAAACTCTTCACAAGCTGGTAATATTACCATCTCCATATTATGGGGAAAGCAATATGTTTATTTCAACTTGCATTCGTATTTGTCGCATTGAAAACAGCAGGTATTAGTATGACCCCTCTATTTTTAGGTATGTTATCCGAGCCAAAGCTGGTAAAAAGCAATTATCAAAGGATGCAAGTGGGAAGATTGCACACTCTGCTGGAGCATCACTTCGTCGGCATAATGAACTTGCTTTAAAAAAGGTGACTGATTACAATCAACGAAACACTTTGTGCCCCCTCCCCCTCCACTCCCTGCTCCCCCTATTTGAAAAGCTGACATTCATATTTGATTCATTATCAGGAAATTCAAGAATTGCTGACTTCATGGAAGCCTTACTTTACCATGTCATCTTGTGTTTTTGTGCATGCTCCTTCAGACAATCGTCAACTTTTCTTTGATGGGAACATACCCTATTTTGCATGTCAGCATAATGCCATTAGGAGTGTTCCTTTGACAGTTCGAAGACCTACCTTTAAGGAGGCTCGACGAATATATAACTTATTGACTCAAATTACCTTTGAGGTTAATGAGGAGGCTTACTCTAATGCAGAAGAAGGCTCACTCTTAAGTAAAACCCTTTGTGAGCATGGCTATCCCGAGCTCACTAAAGAAGCAGGACAAAATTCTGAGAATAAGGAGATCATTGATCAATCTATTAATACTGGCACAAAGTTTGATGGAGCTAACTTATCAAGTGACAGTGGAGGTGAAAGTGAAAATGACATTAACGGCGTTACAACACCTTTACATGAAGCGTCTAAGTCTGGGAACGTTAAAGAGGTTTTGGAACTTCTAGAACAGGGTATGGATCCATGCATAAAAAATGAGAGAGGCCGAACTCCGTATATGGTTGCCACAGTGAAAGAAGTAAGAAACACTTTTAGACGATTCATGGCATCAAACCCTGATAAGTGGGACTGGAATGCTGCAAAGGTGCCTAGTGCATTGACAAAAGAAATGGAGGAATCTCAAGCAGCTAAACAGGTAGTTTTTATGTTGCATAAATTCTTGATGTGGAACCGAGGGGATGCCTTTTTTTTTTAAACATAAGTGCTCCATCGCTTCCAAATAAAAGTATGGGTTGTACTAATGTTTTTAGCATTATAAACAAGACACTTTGTTTTGGGATGGAGGTAGTAATGTTGTATCCTATCAAATAGTTAATGCTTCCAGAGGATTATTTTGTGCAGCAGATTTAACTTCAAAAACCAGCTCCTTTAAATTTATTTTCACTTTGCATGAGAATATAAGTATTGTTAGCAAATACACTGTTTATTTATCCCTTAAAAAACGACTTGGGGAATGTGGGATTCTATGCCTTCTCAGCTTCTACTGTTAAGATTTTAGAAGCTTGAATGCACACAATTGCTTTGAGGTTTGATATATCATATAATTTACATTTCTTAGGCAGAGAAAGATGCCAAGAAAAAAGCAAGGGCAAAAGAACATAAGAAACTGCGAAAAGCAAGACAAAAGAAGGCTCAGGTTTGGATTTCTTTTTTCTAACTTCTGACTCCCAATGTTTTCTTATCTGAAGTCTCAAAATAGCTGCTATCTAGAATGCTCTAGAAACATAGAATTGATGTTTGTGATTGTCTTCCGTTAATCTGCAGGCTGAGGCCAATGAAGCACATATTGCTTCAATCAAGTCGGAGGGCCAATCGCCTGCTCTCGTTAATGCTCCCAGTGGTTCATCTCAATCTAGCCTTTCAACAAAATTGTCTAAAGAGGTTAGTCATATGCATCCCAACACATATATGAACTTCTTAAGGTCTGATTGGATGGATTTTTTTTTGGGATAGGAAGGCTTTGAATGACTTAATCTATGTTGGAGTATTTGATAAACAGAATGTTCCTAAAAACGATTAAAAGACAATTGAAAAATCATACTAACCCATATCGTTGTTAACCTTTCATTTTCATTAAACCGCGTGCACCTGTGTTTGTGTGAGTAATGGTCATCAAGGTCTAAGACATATATGGATTGTGCTGTTAAGTAGTACTCCGTATCATACATACTAAACCATTTTCCAAGATCCTCCATCCAAATTCCAAACACACTCTTATTGAACTTTTAGAAAACTCCCGGCCCATGATTCTGGCACAACGCCTATGATCAGAGAAGTGTATTGAGGTCCCCATGTTATGATCTTTCGCTCTCACTCTTCCCACTTCGTTTCTCTCCATGTAAACTTAATTATAATTATGATTATGATCAGGAGGAGCTGAAAAGGGCTCAGGATGCCGAAAGGGAAAAGAGAGCGGCTGCAGCTGAGAGAAGAATGGCGGCAGCAGCAGAAGATGTCAGGTCTCAAAGCACACTGGGAACAGAGATCTTATGTTGTTGCTGCAACGTTTCTCTGGCGGGTAAAGTTCCTTTTCATCGGTATAACTACAAATACTGCAGCACATCATGTATGCATGTGCATGGAGATATCCTTGAAGACGGATGACTCTTCTCTTCTCTTTTCTTCTCTTTCTCTTCTCTTATTCGAACGTCTTTGTCTGTATTCTGTATAGAAGAGTTATGGGGACTTTTCCAATTCAACCCTCATAGTAATATTTATCATCATAAAACAGTCTTTGTGAGTTGCAGAGTAGGCATGCATGGGAACATCCAATGGATGACATCACTCAATTTCATGCTTCTCTTCCATGAACTTGAAATGTAATATTGTACAAAACTACAAATAAGGATTCATTGTGGAGTATATGTTTCTGTTAGCTGGTTTCTTACGTACTACTCCCTCCGTCCCCCAGTTTTTGTCCACTTTCATTTTTACACACCATCCAATGCATTTCTTTAATCCATTTTATCTTGTAATTTGTATATTAAAAAATTATAGAAATTATATATTAATAATCTATATGTTAGGACAAATCAAACAAGATCACACATGACTATATTTAAGCTTACACATTGAGAGAATTTGATGAGTCAAAGTGCTTAGATGAGCAGTTCCAAAAGTCAAAAGTAGACAAAAACTGGGGGACGGAGAGAGTACTAAGCATAGGGGTGGGTTCGGTTTTGGCGGTTCGGTTTTTATTCAAAACCAGAGACAAAACGGAAGGTAAGTTGATGGTTCGGATCGGGTTGGTTTTGCATAAAAAATATTTAAATTGTTCGTTATTCGGTTTGGTTTTATGCAGTTTTTATTTCAGTTTCTTTTGGTTTTCTAGGTTTATAAAAATAAAAATTTATAAGCATTAAAAAATTGTAAAAATACTAACCCGATGACGGAATAACAAAATGTAGGTTTGAGTTCGGTTTTTTGGTTTGCTTTTTGTACAAAACCAAAAACCGAATGGAAGGTTAGTGTTCCGTTTGGTTCAGTTTTACAAAAAAATATGTGTCGAGTGTCTAACAAAAATCTAGGAGATTCCAAATACTCCCAAAGACATTGTATGTAAATATACAGAAAATTTGTATTTTTTGGTATAATACTTTTATTTCCATTATAACATCACAATTTTTTTATGTAAATATGTAAATTACTCGTATCAATGTAAAATGTTAATATAAATTGATTTAGGATTAATTATTGGTGTTTATATTCTTAAATTTTTTTAAAGTTTTTGATATCGTTTCAAATATTTAATTAGTAGTATTTAAAAAAGAACTTTAATCGACTAGTCAACTATTTGCATTTATATTTCTATAATATTTTTACATATCACATATACTCATAAATAAACTTTAATTACTTTCTTTACCTCTTGTTTTTTGTTAATTATTTGATAAAATAATATAGTCTTGTCATATCTTGTTTTGTAAAAATTTTGATGTGGTTTTTTAAAATATATAAACTTTATTTTTTAATTCTATATCTACAATCAAATGAATTGAAAATAAAGTTATTCAAAGTATCAAATCTCTTAAACAGAAACGGAAAGAATATGGAACATTTGAGTCAATGTAGTCAACATTGTAATTGACAAGATTTATTTTGTTTATGGACTCGGAGTAAATAACAAAAAAATGTGCTTTTTATTTAGCCTCTCCGTTGGCAGATGCCTCAAAGAGCGCAGCTGCGATAAAGCCGCGATGTGGTTAGGGCATTTTCCGCGCCATTTCTATGAATCACAGTTGCTGAATGATTGATTATTCATGGCGAAGGTAGATGAAAACCCGACGACTCCATTGGCGGTAGCCTCCAAGCTCGACCGTACTCCGGACCCTTCCCTCAAAGACCAGCACTCCTCGCCCAACTCCGCCGCCAACTCCTCCCGTCACCGCGCCACTAAACTCAACAACAAGAGCAATGACCGTTCTCCGCCGCGGAGAAACCCTCTAACCGCCGAGGAGTTCGTGCTCTCCGTCGCCTCCAAATACGCCTCTCAGCCTCTTCAGTACTCCGATCCTGACGTTTGGGGCGTTCTCACAGCAATTTCCGACAAGGCTCGAAAGCGTAGCCAGGTCCGCGATTTCAATCTTATGCTGTAGATTATTTTTTTTTGGAGTATTTTGGCTGCGTCTGTATACATTACTAATTTAAGTTTTGTTCATCGTGTTACGTGAATTGGTATAATAGCCATGACAATTTATCCAAAAAGTCTCAAGATTTCTGACTGAATACGAATTGAAGAAGCACAGCGACATTTTACTTGCTATTCTTGAAAAGGTCAAACAACTTAATTGATTTATCATGATTCCAGAATGTTATGAGGAAATCATATTTCAGCAATTTTGATTGTTTATGACAATTTAACAGTTGTGTAATGGTCTCATGGATTGATTGAAAATATTTCTGACACTGAAAGAAAACCCAAATGTTCTTCTCTAGCTGCCAACTCCTTACTTTGTCTAGTTTCCATTTGCTGCTGTTCGTGCAACACAATGTAGATCATGACAAACTTTAATTTTAACAACATGCTTTGAGTATTTATTATTCGGTGCTCTCACTTTCTACTCAGGGCATTAATATACTTTTGACATCTGGAGAACACCGCATTGGCCGCATGGTTGGCGATTCTCGTTTCCAGATTTCTTCTCCAGCTGTTAGTGCCATGCATTGCATGATCTATAGAAAAAAGGTTGCTAGTGGGGACACAGAGCATGGGACTTCTGTTTTTCTGAAAGATACTAGGTTGAATATTCTCTCTGAATGATTTCTATCCATATCTTGAAGTCAACTTTCTAATCTTTGGATCCTCTGCAGCACAAACGGAACATACCTCAACTGGATAAAGTTGAATAAAAGTTACCCTGATTCTATACTTCGGCATGGAGACATTATATCCATTGCATTCGCACCACATCACGGTAAATGAATGCTAGTCATTCTAGAAGATGAGATTGCTTGTTCTGATCTAAAGAAGGAAATAAACAGATTTGCTCGGGTCTTATTTCATATGGCTAAATATGGGTCATTATTAGGTCAATAGTATTTTAGAAGAAGAGTGTATTTTTGGTTCATTAGTCCTAGCGGTAACTAAGTTTGCAAAAGTTCTGCCTTATTCCCTTTTTGTGTACCATTTTCTGAATCATACTGCTATTTAGCTTAACTGGAGAAGAACAGCTTAGATTTCTTTTTACATGTTGACAGAACTTGCTTTTGCATTTGTATTTCGCGAAGTCTTCAGGCCTACTTCATCAGCAGATGCAGTAGCTATAAAGAGAAAAGCAGGTATCTAGGATCTTCTTTCAACTTGGTATCCATGTCATTTTTCTGGTATAGGCCGATGTGTTTGAAACTTTAAGCATTTCTCACTGATCACCATGATAAACAAATGTATGTAGCTTGTGTATTATGTAGTAGATTTCTGATCTTGACTAATATGTGCTTATCCACTTTGGGGGGACTGTAAAGAGGAGTTTGGTTGCGACAACAAGAGACTTAAAGGAATTGGCATTGGTACTGCTGAAGGTCCTATTTCTCTGGATGATTTCCGTAGCCTACAACGGTCAAACACGGTACACCTTTTTTTGGGGTTTCACATTTGTTCCGGTTTGTGCCAAGCTTGTATTTTGAATTTAAACAACCATATTATTTTAATATATACTGAATTTCGCTATAGGAACTGAGGAAGCAACTAGAGGATCAAGTCGCAAAAATTGAGGCTTTGCGCAATGAACACCGTGTAACTGTTGAGAATCATGAGAGTGTATGCTCTAGTTCTTAATATTTGTTCTTTTCTCTTTTGAATGAACCCATCTCTCTGCACACCTTTAACTATGTTAGACTCCTTTATGCATTTAATGAATTATGCTCTTTTGTTTTTGCTTTTTATGATTAGTCCACATCTCCGATGGAGCCAAAATTTCACCATTTTTGGCTTTGGGGTGTGATAGAATAAATCAAAATGGATCTCTAAACTGTCTGCGCTTCTTTAATTAATGAAGTAGCAGTTAGTCAAGCAATGCAACCTTCGACGTTGAGCCGGGGGTCTCTTTGGAAACAACCTCTCTACTTTTGAGTAGGGGTAAGGTCTGCGTACACACACCCTCCCCAGACCCTACTCTTGTGGGATTTAACTGGGTTGTTGTTGTTGTTTTTGCTTTTTATGATATGCATTATATTGAATGGGAGCCTTGGTGCATTGATAGTCCCGATATGTGTTGAGGTTATGATTTTTTAGCTTGTTGCCTACAATAATAAATGTATTCGTGTGCGAATCAATGTTGCTTTATTTGAGATAATGCTTTTACTGCTCACTGTCAATAGCTTCTAAAGAGTCATGACATTGTAAATACTCAATCTCCAATTGTAGAAACTAGAAACCTGAGTGCCTGACAAATATGATTAAAGTAATCAAAGGATGTGGGCAACAGCGTTGTAGACATACAAATCCATTTAAATTCAGCCATTTTGTTAGAGTTTATATCGTCTCTGAAGCAATATAATAAAGCTTGATAGATATATAGACCCTGCGTCAATTCCCAATGAAGCTTACACAGTCATTATTGACAATGTTTTAGCTTAATGTAAGTAATGGACTAAATCCAAAAGGCACATAAACTACCTTTTCTTCTTACTTTTAATTATGTTTTGGGCAGTACATGCACCAAGCATCTCACAGAAATGATTTCTTTTTTTTTTCCTGAGGGGTAAGACTGGGTTTATTTGTCTTTGGTGTGGTGGATATATGAACCCATTTAGGCTCAGTCATTTTGTTTGAGTATTTCTTATTGAAATAATTTAATAGAGCAGCAGCAAGTGATTATACAATTGCCATTACTTTGCATTGGCTACCGAAAGTTAAACTCTCCTTCCTTCGTGTGCATAAGTTTACTGTTTCTCTTCTGCAGGAAATGAAAGATTTGAGAGATTCTGTTTCAAAATCCTACCATGATCAGATCAAAGAGTTGAACCGATTGTTGGAGTTTAAGGATAAAGAATGTATTGAATCTAGTAGAATATCTGCTGAGCAAAAACATAATCTGGAAGATCTTAATGAAAGACTCAATGCATCTGAGCAATCATGTATTGAGGCCAATGAAATCATAAACAGGTACACCACATTGTTGAAAACATGAAATGAGAAATTCCATAGAGCTTGTTTTCATTCCTTTAATTTATACTCCCTCCGAAATTGTATGACGTTTTAGCCCAAAAAATCCAATAATCGCCATTTTAGGGACTTGCATATTTTTAAAATTTTACTAATCACAAAAACTTGACTATTTTAACCATCTCTACGTTAAAATGCTTTTGCACCTTGAAAGAACAACAATGCATTTAATTTCAAACTTAAACAAGGATTTGATGGTCATATTGTTCATTCCTTGAAGATGTGTGCCCCTCTCTTAAATTTCAGTTACATATTTGTACTGAGATGTTTGTTTTAGTTTTATGGCTCTGCTGTTTGGAAGACCTTAAAGTGGCTGGAATTTCTTTAACTTTTTAGTCAGAAAGCATCTATTTTGGAACTGAAGGCCTTACTAGACGAGGAACGTGAACAGAGAAAAGAGGAACGAGAAAAGGCTGCATCAGACCTTAAGGCCTCTATACAGAGAGCTCAGGCTGAAGCACGGGAGGAACTAAACAGATACTCTGATGCGGCTTTGAGACGCGAAAAAGAGCAGCAAGAGATGATTAACAAACTACAGGTCAAGAGGAACAAGCGTATTTTGGATTCTCGTTTCCCAATAGTTTTGCATTTTTTTCTTGTGGCCACAAAGTTTGATTATCTTGGTTATTTATGATTCCAGGAATCCGAGAAAGAGAGATGTTCACTAGTGGAGGCCTTGAGAGTGAAATTGGTATTCTATATAGTGTATATGTGGCCTTACGCCCAACATGTGCATTATGTGTTTGTTCTCTAACTTGCTGGAATTGTGTTATATTTATTTCCTTATCACAGGAAGAAACCAGACAGAAACTGGTAATTTCAGACAATAAAGCTCGCCAGCTTGAGGCACAAATGCAAGAGGAGCAATTGGCTTCTGTTACTAGCAGAAAAGTAGGTTTTCTCCTTGTTAAAATGTCAATGTACGACACAGATGTTTTAATTAAAAAATGTTCATTTTCTGCCTGATTTCACCGGATGCTTATAACATGGAATCTTGGTCTCTTGGAAATGGTTTGCTTTTTTCACAGAGAATAGATGATCTTGAGCATGAAATGGAAGGGCTGAGGAAAGAGCTCGAGACAGAAAAGGTAGGCTTGACATATTATATACGGACATCATTCTGGTTTGAAATACACTCGTCTTTTATAATAATGCACGAAAACATCAACACAAGAATAGATGAAATCATCAACACCAGGAACAGAGACGTTCTGGTTTGTGCTGTAGTATAGTAGGGTTAGGTGTGTGTTGGGTTTCAATATTTGAGACTTTTTGGTGCTGTGGGTAGCAGGCTGCTCGAGAAGAAGCATGGGCAAAGGTTTCTGTTCTTGAACTAGAGATCAATTCTGCCATACGAGACCTAGATTATGAGAGACGCAGATTGAAAGCTGCCCGGGAAAGAATCATGCTTCGGTAAGAATTTTCTCTTCATTAAACATTTAAATTACTGCATATGTTTGTTTTTTGAGTGATGCATGTGTAACTCTGTTATGCTTGTTTTCAGAGAGACTCAGCTTCGGGCTTTTTATTCCACCACAGAGGAGATTTCAGTTTTGTTTGGGAAGCAGCAGGAGCAGTTAAGAGCAATGCAAAAGACATTAGAAGATGAGGAGAATTATGAAAATACATCATTGGATTTGAACATTGAACCAAAAAATCACAATGCTAATAATGGATCAGTAGTGGGTGAGAGAGGAGGTGGAGGACACTGCTTCAACGCTGCTGCTGCTAAGACGGGCTCCACTAATTCCACCCATAGGAACATCAAAGATCTCTTCGGGGCATCAAGTGAGGGGAGCATGACAGAGAAGCATGATTGCACCATCAGAAGCCAACATGAAGACGGTCAGGGCGGGACCCAGGAGGTGGAGTTTACTAGCGGGGAACGCTGTAAGCTCGTGGGCTTTGGTTCTGATATCAATGCACCTATCATAGAGGGAGATCCTGTTGGGACGGAACAAATCAACGAAACAGGCGATAACCTTAGCCACCACCTTGTGGGAACAGAAACAGTGGCTGAGACGGAAAGCCAAGAGAGTGATCAGAGGAATATAGATACAAACCAATTCGATGGTGGGGATACAATGAATTTAGATGGTAAGACAGATGAAGCGAGGAAGAATCCCTTAGAGGGGAACATAAACGAGACAGAAGAAGTGGGAGAGACAGTGAGAACATGTGATCTTTTGTCTTCAGAAGTAGCTGGGAGCAGGGCATGCAGTGCTGCGGCCCCATCATCTCTTCATCATGCACAGAATGGTTCTCAAAGGAGCAGAGGGAATACTCATAAGAATGATGGTTCATCATCACATTCTCTGTGTGTTCCTGAGAGCCAATCTTCCATGGCAAATTCTACTCCTCCTCCTCCTCCTCCTCCTACTACTACTACTACTAGTGGTAGTAGACGGGATCATGACCGCAAAGCACTAAGCGAGATGATTGGAATCTTCGCTCCAGATCTGAAGGAGCAGTTCGGTCACGCTGTGGGAGATGACAAGGTGGAGGAAAGCGGTGGGATTGCTTCTGATTCTGAAACCGAAAGCTGCACGGACAGTGACAATGAAGAGGTGGCAGATACTGAAGTTGGATCAGCTGCTGCAATGGATGCCAAGTATGATGATGATGATGATGATGAAGGTGATAATGTTGATTGGGAAGAAGATGATGATGATGATTAGCAGTTAAGTGACGCATATGTAAATAGTTCATAGTGCCCAGATGAGTTTTTTCTTCTCTTTTTTTCCCTCCGGAAAACAAAACTATAGTCTCCTTTGCACCGAGCATTTGCAGAATTTGTGCCATTTTATCTTTTATGGGAATGAGTTGATAAGAATAACGCAATTTTTTTTGTGATGGATCATATCTTAAATTTGGACACTATGTTTGGTTCAAGTAATTTGAGAGAGAAAGGAAAAGATAATGGGAAGAAAAATATTTTTCTTGTTTGGTTAGAGAGGAAAAGAAAAGAAAAGTGGAAAGACAAAATATATAAAAAGAAGGAAAAACTAAATTCTTCACATTTTGGTGGGGAAATTGAGGGAACATTGTTTTCTTTTTTTTCTGAATTTCTTGAATCAAACATACTGTTGGATTACAATAGTACAACTCAATAAGAAAATAAATGTTTTCTTTACACTTTTTTACCAGTCTAACCTAACAAGAAAAACTATTTTTCATTTTAATTTCTTTTCTTTTCCTTTTCAAATTTCTTGAACTAAACATAATTATCAAATTTCTTCAAAATTGATAATTCGATACCGTATTTGTTGTCCAACATTCATTACTCCCTTTGTCCTATAAAAAAAGATTTATATTTATTTTTTTGTATGTTTAAAAAAAAGTTACACTTTCTATTTTTAGAAAAAAATTATGGTTCTAATAATTTACTTTCAACTAAATAACTTTACTTTTTTAGGCTGTGGATGTAGAGTCCCGTGGCCGATGTGGCGCACCATCTCGACCGGAAACATTTCTTCTCTTGATCGGGATTCGGCGTGAGAAGCGTCTGCACGTCTAGTTCCACCGTCCACGAGCCTAACAATTTGTTTTTTTCCTTTTGATCGTTGCAACACTAGTTTTATTTCTATTTTTATTTTTTTTGAAATTTCAAATTTCCTTCTATGTTTAAATTAACTTCATCTACCTCAAACTTTCATCAATTATATTGATAAAGATCGAGTCAATGGACATTGGATAGGTCTAAGAGAGAAGCCTCTTAGAAAAAAAACCCTAACCATAAAATTTCTTATTATACTCTAAATATAACACAATTATCAAGGTGGGAATAAAATTACATCTACATGAGCTCTATACTTATTCATCTCCTTCATAGAGCTTCAAGCTACATAAATAACTTTCAAACCACTTATTATAGGAATAATGCCCAAAGATATAATATAATACCTCTTCGCATGGTACTGTTGAAAAACACAATAATTTTTCATCCAATTTAGTTTTTCACATAAATATTTCCTTTTCATCATATTACTATATTTATTACTCCGTATTTGATATTGTATTACATACATATTTTTACATATCCGGATAGATATCCATCATATATTCCTAAAGAAGTTGAAAATAAAACCTCTTTGTTGAACATGATTTGTATTATCCCTCTTTCTAAGAAAGATTTTCGTATTGCGAATTATTATACTCCCTCCGTCCACCTAAGATGTTCTCATTTTGACTTTTGGTTGTTTTTAAGAAGAGTTGAAAAAAAGTGAGAGTTTACCATAATACCCTTAATGAAATGGGTGAAGTGTATTAAATGAGGTGGGTGAGGTGTAATAAATAAAGTAAGTGGGGGTAGTTGTGGTATTTTAATTGTTAAAAAATGAAATGAGAAGATCTATTGTGGACAAAGAAAAAGGGCTATTGGGAAGATTTATGAGGGACGGAGGAGTAAGTGATTATAGTTTTTTCATTTTTATTTTATTAACATAAGTTTTTGATTAAAAGATAAATATACATATTTAAATATTAAATAAAAATTCATTAAAAAAAGTAGTGTGAATTTGAACTTTATGAATAATTCTGAGTAGTTTTTTTTTGGAATGGAAGATCTATTTTTTCTAGAAATGCCACGTTGCACTTAATGCAGTACTTCGTAAGGTAGATGTAGACAATAGATAGAGGTTGAAAAATCACCAAGCCGTTTGATTACTGATCCGCTAACACCTCCGTTGATTGGTGCGTTCCGGCGATGGACACGGTTGTCCCGGTGGCGGTTCTCTCGGTGATTCTCGGAGCTTCTATAGCATTTCTCGCATTCGGGAACTATTTCCGGAAGCGGAGGTCCGAGGTGGAATCGATCTCTAAGGCCGAAACTCTTCAACCCAATCAAAAGTCTCATTCTAAGCCTTCCCAGCAGTCCTCCAAGAAATCTCATGCCAAGCCTCACTCTCACGCCTCCGCTGATAAGGTAAACCAATCATCAATTATGGCCGATTTCTTATTTCATGTGAGAGCTGGAAATTTGGGGGTTTTTTTCTTCCAAAATGAAACTTTTTTAATCTCCGTGAGATGTATTAAAGGTTGATTATTTTGGCACATTATCTGTTTGAATCGAGTGAAGTTTCACAAGGCATCAGGAAGTTATAATTTTAATTCTTTCTAGCACAATGCTCACTTCTGTTTTAAATTTGCAGTTGTATGTAGTTCAGTTGTATGTAGTTCAGTGGTTTGTGACTTTTATGAAGAATCTCTTTCTAATTGTCTCACATTTTACCTAATGAATGTATACAAAAATAACATTGGAAGTCATGTTTGAGATTCTCAAGCATTTAAAAGGTGACTCTATGAGCACAAGAAAGAAACATATTATCTATGGATTGTGGCTATCAAAGCTTTGGCCTATAATACAAGTCCTTGTGTAGGTAAAAAAAGACATATAACCCTCGATGTTCTTGAAATTACAATCTAGGGTAATTGTATAAGTGTGTCGTGCTTGGTAAGCCCACCATAGTAACATTTCTTGGGCTGGTAATTCACAAGTTCTTAACGTCCATTCAATTTAAGTATGATCTCCTCGAGACGGTAATATTCCCATCCAACCAATTTGTGATTTGTTGAAACTATTCTCTGCGGTGTCTTTGTATAATTGGTTGCCATCGTACTCGTAAGATTCAATAGTGAACTTAGCAATATCGACCATTTTATTGGTGATAACAAAGTTTTAGGCCATAATGCATATATTGTAAAAATATTTGTATTGTCGTATACTCTATGTTTGTCTCCGTGTTTTGTCTTCGTGCTTTGCCCATTTTCTTTTCTCACCAATCCCATTTAAGTATCACATCCAATCTTTGACAAAGATTTGATGTGATGCTTAAATAGGATTGGTCGTCTTTGACGACTTTAAATCAAACATGCTTGTGAGATGGAAGATGGAAAAAGCATAGAGACAGAGAAAGAGTATACGAACAGTTCAAATATTTTTATAATATGTGCGTTTTAGCTCAAGACTTCGATAACATTAATAAAATGGTTTATATTTCCCCGTTTGCTATTGAATCATATGAGGATACTGAAAACCAATGGTACAAAGACACTGCAGAGACTGTAGTCCAGCGACTCAGGAATCGAATGGATGGGAATATGCCCCAATTGAGTTTTGTCCAAGTAGGACCCCATGATTACTGTCTTGAGGAGACATACTCGTTGAAAGGACAATTAGAACTTGTGAGCTACCAACTCAAGAAATGTTAGTATGGTGGGCTTACCAAACACAACACACTTATATACTAGTCTGAGGTTTTAATTTCAAGAGCACCGAGGGGTCTTTTTATAAAAAAAACCCCTCATAGGGCTTTTTATTATAGGCCAAAGCTTTGACAATCATATCCCATAGATATTTTATTTCTTTCCTTTGCTAATAAAGTCACCTTTTTTAAAATGCTTGAAAATCTCCAACGTGGCTTTCAATGTTATTTTTAGATACATTCATTAGGTAAAATGTAAAAAGATAAAGAAAAGATTATTCATAAAAGTCACAGAACACTAAACTACATACAACTGCAAATGTAGAATCTGAGTGTTTGCAGCATTGTGCTAGAAAGAATTAAAATTATAATTTCCCAATGCCTTGTGAAACTTCACTCGATTCAGAGAGACAATGTGCCAAAATAATCAACCTTTAAAATTATCAAACTTCCATGGCATCTAAATCGTGTTCATTATTGAAAGGCTTTGTCTTTTGCTCATGAATTGAGAAATGGAAAAAATATTTGTTAACGGATTTACATTTTAGGACTTGAACAAGCGACGTCATCCACTGGATTTGAATACACTAAAAGGTCATGGAGATGCTGTCACTGGCATTTGCTTCTCACCAGATGCATCTAATTTAGCAACTGGTAAAGCTTGTTTTTGTTTTACAGTCTTGTGTCATATGTAAACGACAACATTACCCTAGTGCCTGAAAGGCTCCCGCCACTTGTATTATTATTTTTACAATTAGCATGCGGCACACGCGATTTATGCTTTAGTTATGAAATGGAGTAAAATTAACAGTGAACATAGCGAGTAAACAAAAATGATTCACTTTTTAAGCTTGTCAATTTTTGTATTTGTAGGAATCAATTTGTTTTCTTCGTGTTCTGCTAACACATTGTTGCTAACCTTGAGATGTTTCCTTTCTTGCAGCTTGTGCTGATCGAGTTTTAAGGGTCTTCAAATTGGATGATGCCTCAAGCAAAAGCTTTAAGTATAAGTCTTTCCTCACGGTTAAATGACTACTGACCCCAGTGTGGATATAATATCAGAAATATTAATTTTCCTCTCCCCTCTTAGGTTTCTGAAGATTAATTTACCTGCGGGAGGTCAAAGATTATCAATTGCATATGCTGATGAAAAGTCTTCCATAGCTGTGGCATGTGATACCATTGATGGTTCATCTATTTACATGTATGGTGAAGAAAAGCCAAAAGGAGACATTGGTGCCACACAACAGTCTAAATTGCCTCTCCCAGAAATCATATGGAAACACCAAAGAGTCCACGACAACAGGGTTATTATCACTCTGTGTAGTTCCAAGGCTACTTATGGCAGTGCGGATGGGAGTTCAATTATTGTTTCATGTTCAGAAGGTATGTCAAATATTACCATTTTACATATTAGCGTGATGAGTTCCTTTTGTTTCTGCACATAAAGGATAAATGGTTAAGTAACTAATGTATCCTTTGCCATTGTCATTTTAGGTACTGATATAATAATTTTTCATGGTAAAACGGGAAAGATCTTGGGTAATGTTGACACTAATCAGCTCAGAAACAACATGGCAACTATATCTCCTAATGGGCGTTTTATTGCTGCTGCAGCTTTCACTTCTGATGTTAAGGTAATTATGCTTATCGCTTTTCTATGAGATTTTTCTGTCACATGGCCCGGATGTAGTTGGATGTTTTAAATTTGTACTAGAAAAAAGTGTTTTGACAATGATCTAAGTACTTGATAGAAAATCAATCAATAACTCTGCCCTGCTTTTGAGTATATTTGCAATGTGAGAGAATATTTTGCTTCTAAGCATCATATTGCGCTTGTGCTTCTAGTTTCAGAGGATGTTTTGTTTCGTTTACGGGGAGCATTTAGTTTAGAATATACTCCCTCCGTCTCAAAATTACTTCACATGTTGACTTGGCACATTTGTTAAGAAAATGAAAGTGTGAGTGGTTGTGATTTATTTAGAAATAGGAAAAACCATATCACCCACACAAATCTTTCCTTAAAAGGAAGAGTTAATTGTTTTTTAGGATTACTCAATAAGGAAAGTGGGAAGAAAATGTTAGGACAAATTTAGTACCTAACTTCATATCATTCCTGGTTTCCATCTAGGTAAATAGTTTCTATTGCAATTCAGGATTTTCAAAACTTGGGGTTCTGTTCAGAACTGTGAAATTTATGTGTTGGCAGGTCTGGGAAATCGTGTACTCAAAAGAGGGTCTTGTGAAGGAAGTGGCAAAAGTTATGCAGCTCAAGGGGCACAAGGTAATCTAGTTTCTCCAAGATGAACATGAAAACAACTTGATTTCTATCTTAATTTGATGCTGGTCCCTCTTCAATTGAAAACATGCTTAACATCATTTGTGATAATGCCCCCTCCCCATTGTTTATATTTTAATTACATGCAATAACCTAGAGCTTGAAGTTCTAGAGTGGTTAATATTTCCTTTCAACTGTATGACATGTTCAGAGTGCAGTGACTTGGCTCTGCTTTAACCAAAACTCAGATAAAATAATTACTGCATCCAAGGATGGCTCTATAAGGGTGTGGAATATCAATGGTATGTTAAATCACCATTACTAATTACTCCTTGAACGCGAACTCCATTACACAATACTCCCTCTTGTGGGATGCTTAAAGTTTTCATTTTGCAGTGAGATACCATCTTGACGAGGACCCTAAAACTCTGAAAGTGTTTCCCATTCCACTCCTTGACTCAAACGGCACATCTTTGCACTATGATCGTATATGCCTGTCACCTGATGAAAAGGTATTGGCATCTACCCACGGCTCAACTCTGCAATGGTTACACGCTGAGACGGGGGAGGTCTTGGACACGGCTGAGAAAGCCCATGATGGTATTATGCCTTCCTTTCTTTTTTGGTGTATCGCATTGATTTAGAACCCCATTTTTTTGAAGTATCGTGCTTTGCATTTTTCATTTATTAGTCTTTTATTCTATCTATCAGGTATCATCACAGACATGACTTGGTCACCTTGCACCATCTCCACAGGCAAGTTGTCTAACTCTGTTAATGAAAGAGTAATATCCAGAATTCATACGGTTGCATATCAAAAGTGAAAAATAATGAGGGACACAATTGTAGGAGTAATAATGGGTTTTATAGTACTTGTATAACTTATGAATGAAAGAATATTTGACAAGATTGCAACACGTGAACTCTTGTCCAAAAACATCATAACTTTGAACAGAAAACCAAAGAATCCATTTCACAACCATGCCTATATCATTTTATCTACAACAGAAACGAAAAACAAAGGCAAGTACGATATGAAGTTGCTTAGTACTATATCTGTCTCAAAACCAGTATTGTCACAATTGAAGGCTTGAAGTTATAAGTTCTTGGCTTATTTGTTACCCCATACAAGTCGCATCTTTTTCTTCTCCGCAAATTAAATGAATATGTTTTGTTTGAGTGGTTCCATTCTATCATTGTGCAGGAGGAGGCAAGAGAGAATGGGTATTGGCCACCTCCAGCACGGATAAGAAAGTGAAACTTTGGGCAGCTCCATCATCATGAAATTAACAAACAAAACCACAGCAGCTACTAGTTACTAATCATGATGCAGAAGCGCTGAAGTTTTGTGGCGCTGACCTCTGCTTTCGACTCGCGGTGATTCATAGCATAAGTCTAGCAATTTGGCTTACATTATAGTATTTTACAGTACTTCAGATGGGCATGAATGTGTTCTTTTGTTGTTTATTTTTAAGTTTTAAGTTGAGAATTTTTTTTTTGGGTGTGAAGTTTAGTTGATGGATTGAAACCAGCATTAATTATCGTTTGATTGCTTATACGACGTATTACTAGCAAACTTGACTATCAGTTTGATTGATAAAATTCTCTATCCCTTTTATATCTTTTTCTTTGTTTGATTGCTTATACTACGTATTATTAAACTTTTATGCACTTCAGCTACAAAGTACGGAAAATTAAATTGAGTTATACGTAGTATAAATTTATTTTGAAATGTAATTTTAAAAGATCATATTTGTATCGGTATGTACATATTTTGAAAAAGATATCCTTATATTATGTGATGTGAGATATTACTGGGTTTGTTGTTTCTAAAAAGATGGAGGCATTCATGAATTATTCTTTATACTTTCATCATTAAAATTATAAAAATTATTTTATCTTTTAGTGCTCGTGTCACATAATATTTAATTTCTGCCTTTATTTTGCATACACAATTTTAATAATTATACTGGCCTGGAATAAATAATGTGGAAAATGGTTGTCTTTTTTATCTTTCTATTCTGTAATAATGTTTCACATTTCAATCTTTCACACTTTTTAGTTTTGAAAGTGTGTAACTATTGAGTATTTTCTCTTGGGAAATGTTATTTGTTCACCAAAACTTACACCTCATTTTGTACTCTAAATACATGCATCGATATTTTATACTAGTGTAATGGTTTACATTGAGAAAAAATATTGGTGTAAATTTTTTTTAAGTCAACTAACATTTTTTCTATTTTGTACACTATTTGGGATTAACGCACTTCCACAAGCCGTCATCACCTAGATAGATCTGCCGAGCAACAATAAAGCTGCTGGCCGCCGGACGTGGAAGAAAGTGGCTTCCATGGCGTCAGTGGCTATATCCCCCAACTACAACACGAAGAAATCATTCTCCTATTTCACTTCTTCTTCTTCTTCTTTTCCCTTCCTTTGCACAATCACTTGCCAGAAGAAGCAGCAGTCCGAAGATGGCGACATTTCCCTCCCCCAAATGGGTCGCAGGTACGGTAACGACTAATATTTTGATAATTGAAAAAAAAAACAAATCTGGAAGGAGAGGAATTAAGGGATCAATTTGTTTGTAATGGATGAGGTTAACTATACATAACTGTGAATGAAGGGAGGTCTTATTGAGGAGCAGTGAAATGGCACTTCTCGGAGCCATTTTCAGTTTCAGGTTTGTCCCATTGCTTCTCCCACTTTTTGTTCAATTCACTTTATAAATTGTGTGAGTTCTTACTTTATGAGCTTAAAACCAAATGCTTTAATGAGGGGAAAAAGAAGAAGGAGAAGAAGATAAAGATGAATGCATAAATACTCTTTATTTTTTAGCATAAATCAATGATTGATTATCAAAAATGTTTAAGCTTTCGACACATTATGGACAAAATAATGTGTTCACTGCTCACATGAGAAGTTAATTGAGTTAGAAATGAATAAATATTAGTAATTTGATATGGGTAAGATGTGTGTGGTTTTGGAACCTTGTGCAGTGGGACTAAGCCAAACTACTTGGGAGTGCAGAAGAGCTTTCCTCATGGCGGCGCTTTAGCTCTTTGTCCCGCCACCAACAACTGCATTTCCACTTCCGAAAACATTAGTGATCTCACTCACTATACCCCTCCCTGGTACATACATTTTCTCATCCTTCATAGTATAATGTTCTTGCTCTGGTTTTCACACATCAAAGATATTAAATGAAGAAAAATGCTAAAGAGAGTAACTGACCATTCACAACTCTTGTCCAGGAACTACAACCCAGAGGAGAAGCGTGGTAAAGTGAGCAGAGAAATAGCGATGGAGGAGCTTGTTGAAGTGGTATGTGACCAATTATATAACTTCCAACAACACAAGGTTGGGTTGTTCAATTTTTTACCCTCCCATTTGCAGTCAGTTTCGGATATCAAACTCGCAATTCTATAACAAAGCTACCAAATTTTCTTCTTGACGATACAGATAAAATCAACGAAACCTGACCATTTCACGCCAAAGATCGTGGAGAAGAAGGATGACTACGTGCGTGTAGAATACGGGAGTCCTATTTTCGGGGTATGTTTGGAAAATCACACTTAAACTAGGTTGTTGTATTGCCATTTGAAAGATAAAATGACGCTCTCTCTGTGTGTAATCAGTTTGTGGATGATGTTGAGTTCTGGTTCCCCGCTGGAAAGAAAGCCATAGTACAATACAGGTCCGCGTCGCGTGTTGGATGTTACGACTTGTTTGGCGTGAATCGGAAGAGGATAAAGGTGAGTGAGAGAGTCTTCAAGAAACCTTCTTCAATTCATAAGTGTTGTTTTAGTTAGGTGGATGCATATATATGGACTTAATCACTGTTCTCTTAAAATTGATTGTTGTAATTAGGCACTAAGACTGGCATTGGAGAAGAAGGGATGGTCATCAGACGATTCTGTTTGAACTTTAAAAAAAAATCTTCAGAATCATGAAAAAAGAAGCATCATGAGAAATAAGAATGTGTACATCTTATTGGATTTGTACTATGTATAGTGTATTAGAAAAGAAAAAAAAGCTTGGAAACAATGAAATGTCTTGTGAAACACTATTATGAGTAAATAAAGAAAACATATGGATGCTAAGGAATAAAGAAGACATGGGGTCTCTTGAGATACCAGTAGTTTCTCTATTTTCAAATAAGGGGTAATTAAGGTTTGTATGAACACCTCCTCATGTGGGGTAAATTGGCCAAATAGCACCAGTACCTCATGTGGTTTAAAAAATAGACAATAATATCCCTTTGTTTTCAAAATTCATTTCTAAAGTCTCTGTGGTTTTAAAATATTATACCCATATTATTTTTTATCATTTTGTGGTCACTTTGCCAGCAAAGAAGGAGACATTATATTGTTGTCTCTTTTTCAAACCATAGGGGTACTATTGGTTATTTCTTTTTTTTGTTTATTTTTTGTTTTTACCTCTTTTTTCCTTTATTTGTTTCTTTTATTAATTGAGAATTTTTTAAATAATTGTTTTTATAGAGTTCTAAATATTTAAAATTATTTCCACATATAATCTTTTTTTACTCCCTCTGTCCACCATAGATCTTCCCAGTCACTATTCACAGGGTCAAACTTCACTCACTTTGTTTGTTCATTTTTACTAGTCATTTCGTAAAATAATATAGTCTTGTCACCTCTAGTTTTGTAGAACTTTTCATGTAGTTTATTACTATATAAATTTTATTTTAAAATTTTACCCCTATAATCAATTAAATTGAATTGAAAATAAAGTCGGTCAAGCCTCGTAACGCGTAATGGGAAGATCTTAGGTGGACGGAGGGAGTATTTTCTATCATGTTGATATTTTCTCTTTATCACATTTCTCTTTATTTTTTATGAATGAACAAAAAGAAATCTCTTGTGACAAGGCCGGCCTCGAAAAATGAAAAATGAAATGGGTCTGGTCCGAAATTTATATTTTGGGCCCTATTTTAATTTTTTAGAATACTTCTGTTTCAAAATTAATGATGAATTTAAAAATATGGAGCCCTAAAATTTTATGGGCTCTATGCGGTTGGCCACTTTGCACACCCTCCGGGCTTCCCATTTCTCGTGAGAGTCGTGACATGAGTAAAATGGTACTCAGTTTGAAAATACAAAAATATGCATGCTAAGTATTTTGTATAAAGTCAATGTGTGGTAAGAATACACGTAAGTAGTGTGAATCATCTGTGGCAACATTCTAGTGACCGACAGTGATGGATAGTAGTGTGACAGTTACAATGTGATAACGTGGTTAGTGTGACAGTGTAACGATGACAATGTAAAGTTATTCTCCACTACTCGTCAACATGGTCCTAATTTTTTTGGTAGAAAAGGAATATTTTACTTCATTTGTCCCAATCATAGTCATGTGGTATCTAGTTTTAAATTTTTTTTGATGCAGTTCTTAAATACGAGTATGTAAATTTTATTTTGAATTTTATATGTTTAATAAAATAAAATAAATTAAAATAAAACTGATCAAATTTCATAAATTAAAATGGTGGAATTAATTTTAGAACAAAAGAACGTATGATACGGAGTATTATTGTTGGTACAAAATAGTGAAATTAGCAAATTACCAAATACTCCCTCCGTCCCCCTAAGATGTTCTCATTTTCATTTTTAGTGGTTTTTAAGGAGAGTTGAAAAAAGGTGAAAGTACCAAACATCCGACACGAACCGGACGGCGCGGCCCGTTTTACTATTTCTGAGTTTTGACTTGATTGAAATTTCGAGGATGGGTCTGGAAGTCTAAGCATAGTCTAAGCATTGTAGGCTAAATTTTTGCACTGATACTGCGTATAAAATAAAGTAGTACTCTCTTTGTCCCTAAATAATTTATACATTTTATTATTCAAAAATTGCGTGAATTTTTATTTATTTTTATGTTTTTATTGACTACTTTTTTTAAAACCTTTGATCTACTTTTAAATACATAAATTTTATTTTTTATTTATATACATATTTTTAAATAAAATAATTTTTTAAAAAATATGAAATTTGATTTCGTTTTCCATAAAATGTACCGTCATGTTATGCCAATTTAAAAATTTCAATGTAAGTTTGAGATTGCGATAATGCTAGTTTTGCATTGTCATGTTATGCCGATTTAAAAATTTTGGTGTACAAAATAATGTATAAATGTGATTTACAAGTATCATTATTCAACGTAAATCTTATACTAAGTATGAAGCTTTATTATTATTATATTATTATTATTATTATTATTATTATTATTATATTAGTATAATTGATGATTAAATTTTATGCAACTATGCAAGTTGGGTACAAACTACATACTCACTCCGTCCAAATTGATTACAAATTAGAGTTTATGAAGAGAATTATCTGACTTTTTGAAATTATTTTATTTATAAATTGGTATATCGATAAAAAATAAAAATTCTATATTAAAAAACTACGTCAAAAGTTCTACAAAACAAAAAGTGACAAGAATATTTTATTTTATCAAATACTTAATAAAAGTGCATAAACAAACAAAAGTTTATAATCAAATTGGAGATGGAGAGAGTAATAATTATGTATTGAGTATATCCGACGACATTCAACTGTCTAATGGGTCCATACCCAAACAAAAAAAGAAAGAAATCATATACTCCGTACTTCAAATCCCCTCTCACTCAATGAATTTGATTTTTTTTATTTCACAAAAATTTAAAATTACTTTCTTTGCTCGGAAATAATTTACACTTTTATTGCTTGAGACTTTTATTGCTTGATAACTCTTCTACATTTTTGTTTTTAATTGGTAATTTGACAATGCTCCATCCGTTCATCAAAACATGCATTCCTTCATTCATTTTTTCCTCTTCTACCAAAACATTTCCACTTTTTATTAAAAAATAATTTCTATCCTTACTTTTTCTTACCCTATTATCACGTCATATTTTTTACTAATAATCTATCCATCACATTTTAATTTTACCTATCACATCAGGAATAAAATTGGAAAATCAACTATAAATATATACTCCTTGTTTCTCCTATTAGTCAAAATAGGAACTATTTTCTTGAACGGGGTGAGTATAAAATATTCATGTTGCATCTTGTTTTATTGAACTTTAGATTTAGATTTTAAATATGTAATTTAATTTGTACTTTATATTTATATATCAATTTATAGATAAAATTATTTTTAAAAAGGTACTTCGTATGATTTTGTATGTTATTCAAAGAGTATAAATGAATTAAGGATGAAGTAAGTAAAAGGTATGAAGTATGAATATGTTTAGGAACAATAGAAATGATATAATAATCACATATTCTATTATCAAAAAATAAAAAGAAGATTATTCTATGATGAGTAGAGAAACTATAACTCTATTTATTTAGAAATGGTAGAGTTTAAGATGGAGAAATAATTGAACTACTAGATTGGAATATAAGACGCATGAATTGAAGCCGTTGAACCAAATTAAAAGATTATTGGATTGAATCTCATACCATGATAGAATTTAAGATGGAAAAATAGTTACTGAATTAGGATATAATATACTTTGGTTGAACAGCATTAAGCGATTGAATCTAATCGATTACTTAGTTCGACTAAAAATATTATATATCGATTACTTTTCTTTTCAAATTTTGATATGATGTGGGATACTTTAACAAAAATGAAATGAATGATGCACCACATAGTTACATACAGAGTATACATTAATAAAAAAATGAGAAACGCTAGAGTCACAACAGAAATTAAGAGTCCTAAAATATATACTCCGGTATGAAGTATGTAATTCTCTTTTTAATTATTTAAAATATTTTGTTCTTTTGATAAATGTACATAAATAGTAAAAAAGGATAAGTCAAAACCCCGAGGGTCTCACAGATCTTGATAGACGGTCACTGGAAGAAGGTAGATTAGACTTTAATCGCAGATTGGTGGCAAAGAGTGAATCTTGAATTGCACCTGGTACTTACAGAGGCCCCATGCTTAGCATATATGCATACCCGCGCAATTTCCAGGTATCAAACTCGTGTTTTTCTTCCTTGATACTTCTTGTCTTGCCAACTCCGCAACACCCATCAGCATGTACATGAATAGTACGGAGTAAGATTGTACTCCATCCGTCTTGAAATGGATATCACTATCACTATTACGATCCGTCGATAACTTTTATTTATTTGTTTATTTTTATTGATAATTTGATAAAATAAAATATTGTTGTCATCTCTTGTTTTATAGAGTTTTAATCCATATTTTTATTTTTATATTAATTTGTAATTAAAATGATTTTAGAAATGATGAAATTTTAGACATTGTTCGGAGTAATAAAAAAGGATTTTGTGTAACTATTGCATCATCATGTAGGAGTGATAAGGAACATGTGTAAGTCATTTAGGTCAAAAACGGACGTTTGTGTTCCAAGAAAAACAAAAGATTTACGTTATGAACATTGTGACCTATGCACAACGCTGGCCACAGTGATTTATGAACTGTATGCTTTCATGTGGAGTCATAATTAAGATCATAAATAAATAAACAATGGATGTCTGTTTTTGTTAGAGATAAAAGAAGGAAACAAGATTGAAGAAGGAAAGTGTTAGAGACAGAAGAAGGAAGCGGGATTGAAGAAAGAAACTGAATCCCTTTGGGATTAGGTTTAGTATCTTTCCTAGTTGGATTAGATTTAATATTTAATATCTTTCTTAGTTTATTTAATTCTTATTTTAGTAGGAATAGAAATTTCCTTGTTTACTTTAGATCTTTGTATTCACAACAAGATTAAGAGTTTCACAAGACAATTCAATATACAGAAAATTTCCTCCCAAATAATTCTTTCAGTTTTTGAGTTCTTAAATCGTTTTTGGCTTCAATTCTCTTGAAAATAGTTGAAATAGAATGCACAATTCTTCACCAAATCTTGTACACTTTTTTTTATGTTTATATTCAATTATATAGGATTTTACGATAATCTATTTTGTTATTACGGCTACATGTCCTTAAATAATCTTCATTTATTCACTATCTATGGAATCAAAGTACCGAGTATATTTTATTTACGCCATATTTGTTTAGTTTAATTATTTGTTAAAATAATACTCCATCCATAATCCATTTCAAAGAATCTTTCTATTTTCACTTAATCACTTTCCATCTGTTCAAGAAAATATTTCTAGTTTCAATTAAAATTTTGCTTTTATTCAAACTAATTATTTATCTACCTTACACATCATATCAAACTTAGCATTATTACTAATTTACCATCATATCATATCATAATAAACAATATAAAGTAAGAAGAGGATTAAAAAGTGACACCAAAATTATACAGTAACACCCCGGCCTCCACCCTAACCATAAGCGTCCGCTCATAGAATTGTAGATTGGCCCTACAAACCAACACAAGTGTTTCTCGCGTACTTTGTCTTCACTCGTGCGCGCCCAAGAAATTTTTCAAGGGGTCATCCATCCTAGATTTGCTCCAAGCCAAGCACGCTTAATATTGGAGTTTCTGGGTGATGAGCTCTTGATCTCGAAAAGAAGATGCACCTTGTTGGTATGAGTAGTATTATCAATCCTTTTGAGCCGTTTCTTTCTACAGTTCATTTATTTTTCAAATCAGGTTATTACATATACATTCTTTAAATCCCACTTTTTTCCAAATGAAAAGATTTTAATTTATAGGGCGGATGTAGTAAAATTAATCGTGTTATTTTGTTTTAAAGAATTTATAATATACTTTTAGAACATGTAAGTTTACTTTTTAGTTTACACGAATATTCAAATAAATCGAATTATTTGAAATAAAGATTATCAAGATGATGTTCATCTTGATCATCGAATTATTTAAAAATAATGAAATAAAGATGATTATTTGAAGATAGAAGGGAAAAAACGAAAATAAAAATATGATGAAAACAATTGCCTGCTACCCAAATTAGATCAAGATGATGTTCATGTAGGTGGAGACAGTCAATGTAATTTGGGGAGAGTTGTTAAAATTAGATTTTTTTTTAATAATTAATTTGCTTAACGCAAGAAACAAAATGCTTTGAACACTATTTTCTTGACCTGCTAACAACCAATATACGGAGTGCTTATTAATATTTTAGTTCGTAATTTCTAGGAAAGTTTATACCGGGAGTATTACTTTCTCCATTCACCAAAACAGTTCTTTGACTAACACGAGAAATAAAAAAAATTATAATTAATTTTCTAATTTTGTCTTTGATGTAATATGTAAATTACTAGTAAAAAACACGATAAGATAGATAAAGTAAGAATTAATAATAGTAATATCCAAACTTTCTCAATTAAGAATGACATTGAATAATGAGAATCAAAAAAACAATTCAATCAAAATACTACGGAGTAGTGCCGAGTACATTTTAATTAGAGTAAATTTCATAAATGATCCCTAATTACATATGATTTTCTATATTTACCCCAATTCCTATAGCTATCAATTATCCTCAATTTTTGAAAATTATTTCACAATCGATCCTTCAGAGACTATTTGTGAAAAAATATTTTCTCATATTTAACCTAAAGGACTATTTATGAAACAGTTTTCTAAAATTGAAGACCATTTATAGAATATCTAAAAATCGAAAACTAAATATGAAAAACTACTCGTAATTGGATACCATTTATGAAATTTACTCTTTTAAATAAAATTACTTTCATTCCCAAAATTAACTGTTTAACAAGTCAAAATTAAATTTTAGGAAAATAAAGAAAAAAAATTGAAAAATTGTATGGTATTAGAATGATTAATGAAGCAAATATATACTACGTAATATATTACTCCATGCACGCTGTTATTTATCATCCGGCCATCTTAAAACAAAGCTTACACTATATTTGTCTCATACTCCGTATAATGTAATACTAGTACTAATAGGTTCTATATACAAAAAAATATATTGAGTTTCGATATAAATACTCCCTTCGTCCCAAAAAGTTTGTTACGCTTAGAAAAAATTGCGTCCCGTAAAGTCCGTTATATTTCTACTAAAAAACTATTTTTACCCCTTACCTTTTCATACCCTACCTATCACATCATACCTTTTCCCTAATAATCTACCCATCACATCCTATTTTTACGCATCACATCAAGGGTATTTTTGAAAAGTCAATACCAAAATAACTCTCCCTTAATTTCCCAAAAAGTCAAACCGTCGCATTCTTTTTGGGACGGAGGGAGTATAATATTAATAGTTTCTTATCGAACATATATAGCTTTGAAATACTCTGTTTTAAAATTTTACTTCCTGTGTTCCCTAAAAATTTTCAACTTTCACATCTTACTTGTCCCACAAAATATTTGAATTATTTAAGCTAAATGGACATCACTGCCTTTACATTTCTTAAATCTAAACGAATATATCTCAACTACCTTCTACGCCCCATTCATTTTAATGTTTCTCGAGTCCTCATTTCAATTGTCGTCGTTTTATCTTGGTCAAACATCAACAGTTTTCTCTCCCAAAAGTCAAAAAAGAAAATGTTTTATGGAATGCAAGAAGTATAAAATATATGTATACAATATTGATATTAATTGTCAAAATATTACTCTCTTCGTCCCACAAAACGTATCTCCTTTCTTTTTTTATTAATCCCAAAAAACATTTTTTCATTTTTATTAAAAAGTCATTTTTGTCCTCATTAATTTTTAACAAACATATCACATAACACATTTTCACTATTAATCTATCAATCAAACATACATAGTACTACCTCAGGAAAAACATTTATAGTCAAATAGAAAAAATGTTTTTTGGATGGAGAATGTATATTATTAAAAAAAATGAAATTGAACAGTCTCACTCTCGTAGTCCCCGTATATATATACGGAGTACTTCAAGCCAACCCGATAAACTCTATGTATACGATAATCTATATATACATATAAATGTATATCGATCGATTATGAGCTCGTCTTCAGGAAGCAGCAGCAATGGGGCGGCGGCGGGGGTGGGGCCGTGTGGGGCGTGCAAGTTCTTGCGGAGGAAATGCGTGGCGGGGTGCGTATTCGCCCCATACTTCGACCCGGAGCAGGGACCCGCCGTGTTCGCCGCCGTCCACAGGGTGTTCGGAGCCAGCAACGTTTCGAAGCTCCTCAGCCACCTCCCGCCCCACAACCGCCTCCACGCCGTCCTCACCGTCTGCTTCGAGGCTCAGGCCCGCCTCCGTGACCCTGTCTACGGCTGTGTCTCTCACATCTTTGCCTACCAGCAGCAGGTACCTCTCTATTACTCGTATACTCCCTCCGTCTCAAAAAGTTTGTTACGTTTAGAAAAAACTGCGTCCCGTAAAGTCCGTTACATTTTTATTAAAAAACCATTTTTACCTCTTACTTTTGCATACCCTACCTATCACATCATACCTTTTTTCTAATAATCTACCCATCACATCTTACTTTTACCCATCACATCAAGGGTATTTTTGGAAAGTCAATACCAAAATATCCCTCCCTTAATTTCCAAAAAAGTCAAACCGTCCCATTCTTTTTGGGAAATTAAGGGAGAGTTATTTTGTTATTGACTTTCCAAAAATACCCTTGATGTGATGGTAAAAGTATGATGTGATGGGTAGATTATTAGAAAAAAGGTATGATGTGATAGGTAGGGTATGAAAAAGTAAGGGGTAAAAGTAGTTTTTTAGTAGAAATGTAACGGACTTTACGGGACGCAGTTTTTTCTAAACGTAACAAACATTTTGGGACGAAGGGAGTATTATTTATTGCTCGATCGATCTATTAATGGAAAGATAATTTTTTCATCCAAATATTTTTCTTTCTTTTTTTTCCCCCACTTGTTGGAAATATTGGAAAAATAATATTGCCCCTTAAATTATGAAATACATGATAGAGTATACTCCCTCCGTCCCACTCTCTTTGTCCACTTACCTTTTGGCACATCATCCAATGCACTTTTTTAATCTATTTTATCTTGTAATTTGTATATTAAAAAATTATAGAAATTATATATTAATAATCTACTCCCTCCGTCCCAAAAAGATTTACACGTTTCATAACATTTTTGTCCCAAAAAGAACTACACATTTTCCTAAAAAAGACATTTCTACCCTTGCTTTACACTATTCATGACTTGATAGGATTTCTACTTTTAGATTAGGGTGAGAGGTAAAGTGGGGAAGTCAATGGAAAAAAAATGGTTCCCTTATTTTGCTAAAAAGTCAAAACGGGTAACACTTAATGGGACGGAGGGAGTATATGTTAAGACAAATCAAACAACATCACACATGACTATATATAGGCTTACACATTGAGATATTTTGATTAGTCAAAGTGCTTAGATTAACAGTTCAAAAGTCAAAAGTGGACAAAGAGAGTGGGACGGAGGTAGTATATAGAGAAGAGACTCCTAGCACAACTAGGATTAGAAGATGGAAACCAACTAACATACAACTTCCACCATAACTAGGAATACTTAACATTATTGTCTAACATCCCCCTCAAGCTGAAGCAAGAGGAAGCTTGGACACTAGCTGGAAACTGGAAATTTTGAGAAGAGACAAGTCTTACGTGCGTCGGTGGCTGCTGACATCGTTGGAGAAGAGAGAAGTATGACCTGCACTCGTAGCTACAGACATCGTTGAAGAAGAGAGAAAATTGATGTGCGCTGGTAGCTGCTGACGTCGAAAAAGAAGAGAGAAGGTTGACGTGTGCTTTTAGCTGCTGACATCGAAGAAGAATAGAGAAGGCTACTGGAGGTGCCTATTTGACTGAAGATCTTTGACATTCTTTGTCTTTTACTTGGATCCGGGCGATGCCCTATTTCTTTCTTGAAGGGGTGTCGAAGAATTTTTTTCTCTTTCACTACTTCCTCTATTGGCGTTGCTTTTGTGTTGTTTTTTTTTGGATTTTTATTGATTCAAAAAAAGAAAAAGAGAAGGGAGATTGATTATTAGAATGAGTGCTTTTAATTTAGAGAAGAAAAAAAAAGAAGGGTTAAGAATTGGTGATGGAAGAAAGATTTGGGTTTGAAATTTTGATATGGTGAATTGGGGAGAAACAACACTCATGTTTTTACCTTTTTTTGAGAAGATAGGATGATCTGAGAGGGTTTGTGAGGAGTTGGGTTTTTTTTGAAGAACCATGGAGATGACAAGAGAGAAGTTTCTCCTTTGATAGTTTTTTGTGTGATTTCAACATGGTTTTTTTCTTTTTTTTTCATTTGAATGGAAAAGTTGATTTGAGGATAAAGAATAAAAAGAAAATAGAGGTGAATAGGGTGGAGCCGCCGTCGCCGAAATTACCGGCGGCGGCGGTGGGAGCAAAGAACTTTTTTTTGGTCACCAAGAACGGTGGCTCCGAAACCATGTTGAAAATATTGGAAAAATAATATTGGTCTGTTGAATTATGGGGTATATGATAGAGTATATATAGAAGAGACTCCTAATACAACTAGGAATAGAGAATAGAAACTAACTAAAATACAACTTCCACCATAACTAGAAATACTTAATATTATTGTCTAACACCACTATTTTTTCTTATTATTTTCCAAAGTCAACCTTTCTCTTTTCTCACAATTTTGATTATTATTTTCTATTAATTCAAAATTTAATTTTTTCTCTTCATTTTCTCACCATTTTCTTTCCTCTCATTTTTTCTCTATTACTTTTCATATCATTTTCTCTTTTCAATCCAAAGAGACCATAAATTACATTATGTTTGGTTCAAAAAAAGTGATAAGGAAAGGAAAAAAATGATAAGGAAAACATTTTTTAAATTATTTGGTTAGAGAGAAAAAGAAAAGAAAAGTGGAAGAAAGAGAAAATAAGAAGGTAAAATGTACAAAGTAGAGAAAATCAAAATCCTCCCTTTTTAGTGAGGAAAATAAGAAAAGACCATTTTCTTTTAGAATTTGTTCGGTGGTTTGGATACGTGACGGACAAAACATAGGCATCCGAACACACGTAGGTGACTCAAATCGGGTATTTTATTTGTGAGGATTTGGAGAGGGGATTTCCCGTCAAGGAGCTTGGTTGGGGTTCGATTGATAAGATAAACAGCAGTTTTGATGCATTCTCCCCAAAACTCTATTGGAAGAGATGCTTGGAACATGAGAGCACGGGCGACGTTTAGGATGTGTCTGTGTTTACGCTCGACCCGCCCATTTTGCTGTGGGGTTCCAACATAAGAAGTTTGAATACAGACCCCTAGGGACTCATAATATGTGCGAAGAGGGGTGTTTAAGAATTCTGTCCCATTGTCAGATCGGACTATTGTAATAGTTTTCTCGTACTGAGTTTGAATCATGACAAAAAAAATTTTGAGACAAGAGGTTACTTCACTTTTCTCTTTTATAAGATAAACCCAAACAGCTCGTGAATGATCATCAACAATAGTAAGGAAATAATGTGCCCCAGATGACAAACAAGGAGAATATGGACCCCATAAATCACAATGTATTAAGTAAAAAATTACGGCAGCTTTATTATGACTAATGGGAAATGACGAAC